TATGTGAACACCTTAGACGAAGGGTGTCGAGCAAAATGAAACTTGGGGTGTTAGGGTGTTTTGAACTGGAACACCCTTTTTCAAGGGTGTTGGAAAAGTGTGCACCCTCTGCTATATCGATATAGACTTGTGTCAGAGGAGCGCGCTAACGATGTCGACCAAAATGTCTGAGGTCACAAGTCTGCTGATTGCGTAAGATATGCGCTGCTTGCCCTTTTTTTCATCGACACAGGTATCTCTCAGTATATAGGAACATTGCGCGAGATGCCGTAGAATATTAAACGTGTCTGTAATAACTTCGATCGCTGTGAAAGCCCTCACTCCGCTTGGTGCGGATGACGTCAGTGACTGCTTCGCTTTCATTCTTGGTCCTGCTTTCTGCGTATATGCGTGCATTCAGTGAATGTTTTATGCTATATCTACATGTGCGGTCTCACCTGATTTTACGAATTTTTCGCTCTAATAGTAGAATCTTGAATAGTTGACCTTATGGGTACCGCTGGCCGGCATACCCATAAGGTTGAATGTGTTCATAAACTTCATCAAGTGCGATTTCCCTCTTTTTCTCTCATAACATGAACTAAGAAAGCTATTACATTGATCCCCAATTAACTGAATTGCTTTCGTAGTTTAATGGTTTATGCGACAGATGACACTGATCGCCTCTCTCCTTGTTTTTTTTCTCTGCCTCCTTGCAAAGTACTGCATTCGATTTCTCCATCTTTAAATATCCGCACTTTGTCATAACCTTATGTGACGGTCCATCCTGCCTGTTTGTTCCACTCATGGGAAGCCCCATGTTACGGCTTTCCAGAAACTATGCTCCCGCAGCGTAGTTTCTACTAAGATATAATAAAGTTAAAAGTTAGTTCTCACACATGCAGCTGTGAACGCTATAGATACAATGCCGCGGTAGCTCTCAGGTGTCGGTACGTTACAATTTTATATTTACCGTTTTTACGAACTTTTCAATTCAACGAAATTATTCGGGCACCCTAGTCGCTTCGTTAATTCAAGTTACAGCTGCATATCACTTCCTTATGCCTACGTTGACTCCCCTGCTACCTGAAAAGTCTGGCTCCCAAATTGTTCGATACTTGTTTTTCTTCGCAGTAGAACTAGAACGTTTTCTACGATCACTGTGTTTGATTGCTGAACTCTCAAGTTGCAAGCTTTTCCTCGTGTCTGGCCTTCGAACCTTCACTGACAAAAATGCCACTTCACGTAATTAGGAATTCCTTTATCTACCTTATTCTAAACATAGGGTCATTTTTGCTAGGTGGCTGAAGCGAGCCTCTATTTGTGTTGCGCCACACGTAGTTACTGCAGCAAGCTGTATGCACTCGAACATCTCTAGCAAGCGCCTTTTTTTTTTATCAGCTTCGGAGCAGTGTTGCGGTGAAGCTGCCGAGAACTTTACTTGGGCGAGTTTCTTCATCTCCAGTATACTTTGACACAGTGCTGAATGAAGGGCAGAGGTCGCGTATATTTGTATCTGGCTTCTGGGGTTCTTATGGTCTCTTCGCACTTCTTGAAAGTATGATCGATACTGATAGGCGTGTGCAAAGTTCTTCATCGGGAGAGGGGTGGAGAGGGGGAGGGCGAAGGTTAATCGCAACACCCCACTCAAGTCAATATATGGGACTGAATTTGCGCTCCTACCCCGAGTCACAGCGCTGCCCTTCCCTATTATGTATATGTGTCGGACCGATTTTGCACCCCCTTCTTAGGGAATTAGGGGGCGGGGCTCCCCCCTTCCTTTTTCGTGAGCACGCCTATATCGACACTGCAAGTTTGCTGAACACTTTTTGCCAACGAATGTGTCTCCATGCTGCTCTGTGAGAGAGATTAGTGACAATCGAGGCATCGTCACCCGTCACGATGTTCCAAGCACTGTGCCACCGCAGAGCACAGCTACCATGGCGACGGTTAATGCATGCGCATAGATCACCAGTTTATCAAAGCAATCTTGCACGGTGCTACCTTGATAAGTCTCCCTAAGCATTCACCGGAAATGAAAATGCGTACACGTGCTTCTACCCTACATGCACATTTTTGCGATTGGTGTGCTGATTAGGCAGAGAGAGAGATAGAGAAAGACGTAGTTTTTAAAAGGCTACGCTGGAACATCGGAAAGATCTACGCACATGCTCCGCCTTTTATGTGTAGTGACAAGCAGCCACTTCATCCATTTTTTTTTTTTTTTGTGAACACGTGTAACGAAGGAAAAGAGGTGAAGTATAAAAAAGAACACGCTCTCGACTTCTAAAAACGGCGTGTTACACATCGACTCCGTTGATTTCACCAGTGTCTGAGAAACATTCTTTACATTTTACATCGGGCCACCGACAATCTGCTTTTATGCGTGCCCTCCCCAAAGGCAGCATCTTCAATAGTAACAATGAAAGAAAATGTTGTACGTTCTCAACACTGGGCTCTTAAAAAGCTTCAAAAACACGTGTATCATACATTGCATATTTTTTACCGCTGTCTTGCTGCGTCGTTGCGACCTATAAAAGGGACGCCACGTCAATCACTGTCAGCTGCAGGAACACCCCGAGCGAAGTCTCCATACAACAAAAAAGGCGAGAATTCTAAAGTATGTCGTTAAGAGATGTTAAGATGAAGCAAGCCCTCCCACGGCCACATTATCTATCTATCTATATATATATATATATATATATATATATATAGGGGAAAGAAGTGTATACTTAAGGGGGCTCGTTTTTCCATGTTTTGTCACAATATTAATGAGATCTAACAGTCAACAATGCCAAGGAATGTATAGGGGGAATTATTAGACCAATTGTTTTGTAAATGTGAATAAAGAAAAGGGGGTGAAAGGATGAACTTGCCGTGAGCAGTAACCAAACCTACGGCCTTCGAATAACGCGTTCGATGCTCCACTACTGAGCTACCACGACAGCTATCCCCCCAGCCACTTTATTGGGTATCTATGTCAGTTTAAACGTGGGAGTGTCAGTGAGTGCCACCTGTAGCCATGGAGGCGAGTGTGGCACACTCTTTATGAGCCTGTTTGGCGTCACGTAGCACGTGAACTGATTACGAGCTGGCAGCTGACAAATAGTCCCTCATATACAACCTAACGGCACCAAGTCTGCCAGTACGAGACCCTCGTTAATGAATAAGATAAAGAAGATTATACTTAAGGGCTCGTTTTTCCGTGTTTTGACACAATAATAATGAGATGTAACAGGCAATAATGCCAAGAAATGTATGGGAAAGTAGTATATTGTGGGAATTTAGTATACCAATCCTCTTCATCTGTACATTATCATCATTATCATGTGTTGCTCATGCATCCTCATCGTTGTCACGTACCATCATCATCTTGGTTCGTTCATCTCAGCTGTCGGCTGCCGGTTCCTCGGACCTAATAAAGGTCTTCCAAACCAAGTCTTCATTATATATATATATATATATATATATATATATATATATATATATATATATATATATATATATATATATATATATATATATATATATATATATATATATATATATGGTGTAAGCACTCTCAAGAATGTAGCTGTTGTAACAGTTCCATAGCTGAAACTTCTTGTCGCTAGGCAAGCGGCACAAGCGGAAGCACAATATAGTGCTCCATTTTATGCCGTTTGATTAAAAGTGCTTAAGGTAATGACGTACTACTACAATTATGGCTCTCGCAAAAGCTACGCTTATGAATGCCGTATCTTTTGCGTTATAACTGTCTTCGGCCAAATGATAATGGCGGATAGCACTGCATATTTGATTTCAGTTTCACTCCTAAATAAGGTAACTGAAACGCTTTGCAAAAATGAAGCCTCCATCGTTGCAATATCAACATTTGCCGGTGACATTTATACGTGCTTTGCACAGCGTTCAGGATACACGTCTGTATACGTGTTATTAGTAGGTCGCAAGTTGGATGCCTTCATGCGGAAAGTTGTCTTCTCGCCCACATTAATTTCTTCACCTTTATAGCATGCAAACTACTTTCCCTGTGCTTGTCTTGGCCTTATTATCTGTTAGTTATCGTTCGGGCCCCCGTATTATCGGATAAATCTGAAAAAAAGATTCGATAATCACTCGTTAGTAAATCGTTTTTAAAGTTTCGATTTACTCGATAGGCTCCTATTTTAAGAGGGCATTTTTGAAGCTGACAATCATCGGCCGAACGGAGCGCTCCTCAATCGAATGCAGCAACCTCGCAAGGTATGCTCGTGTCACAACAACCTAGAATACAATATTAAACACCGAATTTTGGAAAATTCGGGGTTTACGAGAAATAAACCCCGATACACGTCGACTTTTTCCGAAAAGAAATAAATAAAATGCAAGAAGCACCCTCCAAACTTCAAGAAAAGTAAAATTTGAAACCACGAAGCCCTAGTTTACGGTTTTTTTAACAAAAAAAAAACGAGCCCCAAAATCATTCTTCTTTCGTTCATTTATTGATGTTTGTGGCCTATGGAACGTTAAAGGTTGTTGAATAAGTTGCCTGATTGTACAATCTTTACAATATTGTGAGCACGTAAAGAGTTTTATTTTTGTCTTCTCTGCGTTTCCTCATTCTTTCTTTTAGGTTCATTTGTTGGACGCTGCTCATAATGCTTTCTTTATGCGTCAGCAGCTTTCTGTCCCTGAGTGGACGCTGCCAAACTGTGAGGACGCGCTTAGCTGATGAGATAATTATAAGAGCCTCGCTTTTCGTTATTACTTTTCTTTGTTTGCTCCAGCTAGTTCTAGTTTATTGTTGTTAATTGCACGGGCAGTAAACGAGCGTGCATATACCTTATAAAGCAACGAAAAGGGAGAAAGTAAAAATTGTCAGGTGGGCGTCGTATTATTAACGTGTTCATTAGTAGTGGCGCCCCAGTAAGAGAAAAAAAATACTACGCGTAATAAAGTTACGAAAACAATAAAGTCTGCTTTAACTAACTAGCCTCGTGCAGTTCTGTACTTTATGAGCATACATAATCTTCACTTTCCAGGGACGCCTGCTCAGTCATGTGGCTTGGAGGTGGGCGACATCATCATCAGCATCAACGGCATCAGTGTGCTGGATGCGAATCATTCCGAAGTGGTTCGGATAGCTCACGCCGGTGAGTACCAAACTGTCACTACCCGCTTAAAAATAAAAACGATCAAATTATCCAACCGTAGCTCTTAAGAGCAAAATAGACAGTTCGACCACCTGATATCAGTATACGAACACAAAAGAAAATGCTGATTATTATTTGGGGTTAACGTCCCAAAACCACCATACGATTATGAGAGACGCTGTAGAGAAGGGATCCGGAAATTTCGACCACCTGGGGTTCTTTAACGTGCTCCCAAATCTGAGCACACGGGCCTGCAGCGTTTTCACCTCCATTGAAACACAAAAGAAATGTTCAGATATGAATATAATACGATTGCACGCATGTCGAGTAATAATATGTCGTTTTAAAAAGATCAAACATTGATATTAATACATAATAATAATAATAATAATAATAATAATAATAATAATAATAATAATAATAATAATAATAATAATAATAATAATAATAATAATAATTTATTCTGGCATGTGTACAAAGCAGTTACATGTCACCGAGATGAGGCAAAAGGGAACAGACGAAACTGTTTCCTGACTAGGCCCACATCCCGGCTCGTGAACAAAAAAAACAAAAACAAAACAAGGACAGCGGTGAGGAAAGCGAAAAACATCCAGTACAGCACAATTCATCAGCATCACTGTAGAGAAGTCATGGAATTTCAAGCAATTTCGCTATAGAAGCACGAAAACCTATAAAAATCATTTCATGTTGATATGTCCATCAGAATAAAGTTGTGAATAGATTTGTTGAATGAAGAGGTGCAATAGTATTCATCATAATTCAGAATTCAAGTGGAGCTAACAATGTGCATAGCTTAACAAATGAAACGCAGTGAAGTACAACTTGGTGAACAAAAGTATACATCGCCAGTGGCAAAACACATTGCATCAAGCACTTCATCCTGGATCGAAGAGTAATCTTACTTTCTTTTTAAAATGATGTACAGATCTGTTTATCTGTGATAATTCTACTACAGAAGCAAAACTATTACATATATCTACTATTCGATGGTCAAGCGTTTGGGTACCATAATTTGTTCTAGATCGTGCTGAAACAAGTGACGTCCTTCGTAAGTTATATTCAATGTGACTAGTGAGGTACATATTGCTGAATAAAGCAAAATCTTGTTTTGTACGCTTATAAATAAGAACCATCACTTTAAGTTTGTAGCATTCAGTGAAACGCAATACACGAAAAACAGAAAATAAATTGCTATGTCTATGTCTATCTGGCCTTTTAGTTATTAGCTGCAATGCTTTTTGTTGTATGGTAATTAATTTTTGTGCATTGGTCCTATTACATGTGCCCCGAACTAAGTTGCAGTATGTGAGGTGCGAATGAACGAGAGAAAAGTATAGCTGCTTTGCCACCGAATGAGGAAGAAGATGGTTGATACGGCTTATAACACCAATGGATCGAGCCATTTTCAGTTTTACATGACTCACGTGAAACTTGCAGCTACTGTTACATGTTATTTCTGAATTACCAAAATAGAGTTTTGGGTTGTGGTGTGTTGCTTTGTTCTGAGCACGGAATAAAATGAAATTAGTTTTTTTTTTCACGTTTAATCTCAGCTGCTTTATCCTCAACCATCCCTCGAATTCTTCAAGCCAACTATTCGCTCTCTGCTCAAGTTCTTTTAGGTTGGGACTAGAAAAGAAGATGTTAGTGTCGTCGGCATATAGGATAATGTTCGAAGATGAAGGAATGTTTACAATATCATTTATGTACACAGTGAATAGAAGGGGTCCTAATATTGATCCCTGAGGTACTCCATATTTTATTGTTCCGTAGTTAGAGCAAGTGTCGTTATGTGGCTTTGTGTATTTTTGACGTGCAGTCAGGTAGCTTTTCATAAGGCTTCTTGCAATGCCACGAATTCCATAAATTTCTAATTTTGCTAAGAAAATGTCATGTTGAACCGAATTAAACGCTTTACTGAAGTCGAGAAATAGTCCGATAGTAAAGTGTTTCATTTCAATGTTTCGAATTAAGACATTTTCTATATAAAGCAATGCGGTTTCGGTCAATTTCCCAGATTGAAAACCGTATTGATGATCACTTATCACATTATTTGCGGAAAGGAAGCCAAAGAAACATGTATAAATTATTTTTTCAGCAACCTTAGAAAAAATTGGCAGAACTGAAATTGGCCGGTAATTACCGAATTCTGTTTTATTTCCACCTTTAAAGACAACAGTAACACGTGCTATCTTTAATCTATCTGGGAACACGCCAGTAGCCAACATCTGATTGAATATATAGGTCAGTGGTTCTATAAGGCAACTAATGGAATTTTTAATTGGCAATGGTGAGATGTCATCATCACCAGGAGCACAAGTACTTTTTAGAGAATTAATAATGGTTGTGATTTCTGCTTCTGTTGTTGGCGTTAGAAATATCGAGTCATAGTTAGAAATCTGAATGCATGACGTAAGAGAAGTATTATTAGGCAAGGGAATTGAGCCGGCATATTTACCAGCTTCCAGGAAGTGTTCATTGAATTTTTAGGCTAATGCAACACCGTCATAGATAATACCCTTAACCGGCATTTCGACGGGTTTTGTGTTAGCTTTGCTGCCGATGAGAGTTTTAATTCCTTCCCAGATCTGCTTAGGATTGTTACCTATGTTTGAAAACTTTTTTCTGTAAAATGAGGACTTTGCTTTTTTTAGATCAGCATTTAGCACATTACGAAACTTTTTGTATTCAGCTAATATCTCAGAACTTCTTGTTTTAAGAAATTTAGCGAACATCTAGTTTTTTTCTTTTATTCTCATTATAAGAGCCTTGTTTATCCAATCTTTACGGGCCTTTCTGTGTTTTCTGATTGCCATAACAGGAAAAGCAGCATTCTAATGGTTAATAACCTTTATAATGAAATTTTCTTACGCTTCATTTGGATCGGTTGCATTGTAGACGTCTGTCTAATCAGTTGTTTTCAGCAAATCACAGAAAACAGCAATATTATTGGAATCATTCGTTCTACGTGAATGGATAGGGGTAGTTCGTTTTTTACTTAAAGGAACAAATACAAAGAACGGCAAGTGGTCACTTAGACCAGACGAAAACACTCCGGAAAAAACCGGGTCTCGAGAAAAGTTCGTGTAGCAAAGATCTATTATTGTTGCTGTTGATCTGTTTACTCGTGTTGGGTACTCAATCGTATTTGTACAGCCATACAGTAGCATTATTTCAGTTAAGGCCGCTTGAATCGGAGATCTACCCATAACATTAATATTAAAATCACCAAGTGCAATAACACGCCATTTATTTGAATTAGCATTATCTAAACATGTCTCAATAAACTGAAGAAAAGCTTCTGCGTTACCTTGAGGTGGGCGGTACAGCGCAATGATAAAAATGTTCCTGTGTAACAGGCTAACACATTCGAAATCTTCGAAAACGCCCGTATAATCAGTCAAGATGTCAAAAGATAAGTTTTGGCGAGTGTATATAGTCTCACTCCTACCTCTGTTTTCTTTCCTAAATTGAGTTACATGTTTGTAGCCAGTGAATTGAATGACGTCTTCCTCCGAGCGGAACCACGTCTCGGTAAAAGCAAAAAAAAAATCAAAAGTGTAGTTGATCTGCCTCATTTCAGCATCGACTTCCTCTCTCTTGTGTCTTAAACTTTGCGCATTTAAGTGATAAAAGGACAGGCTATTGTTTGTACTGTATCCAGAAGTTTTTAACACTTCTAGGAATGAATCAGTAGAAAAATGGGCTATTTTTCACTAACTTCTTTTCTGACGAAACGCACAGTCTGTTCTAGATAATTTTGTTTAAGTCACTTTCATTGTTGATGTTGATGGCGCGAGTACTTGGTTCTTTTCGAGCAAATATATTCCCTTCATTATTTGCGTCATTAATTTGCAAATACGTTGTCTATAGTAAAGAGATTACTTATATAGTTATATCATGTTCTACTGCCTTATCATGTCTTTATTGCTTGAATTATTTTATTGAAGTTACATTGTGAATTCTTTACTTTTTTGTTATGCCCCTCCGCTCGGTCTTTCGACTGCAGTGTGGTATAAATAGATAAAAAAGTCATTACATCAAAACCTAGTTTATTTTTACCCGAAACCAGTCTCTCGGACATCTGCATCGTTTTAACACACGGGCGTTTTTCTTATGCCTCATATGCCGCTTAATGCATGCGTTGAGAAGGCGCGAAGCAGAGAGAAGAAATGAAAGGCAGGCCACGTGTTACCACACACGTGACGGAGATAAAGAGATGAAATAAATTTTAAGGGAGAGAGCAACAACTTTAAATAAAAAGAGCGCACTCGACAGAGGACCAGTAAAAGGGCACAGCTGGGGCACAAGATCTACGAGGCTTCGGAAATGGCTATAGGCTAGCCAGCGTGGTCGCCAGTAAGTTTTCGATCGCTTTATTTGACAAAGAAATTGATTTTATTGAGCACTTTCATACGCCTTATGTTCGTGGCACGTATTGATGTTGAACAGTGTTTTTATCGTTGAATTGCCTTTGCGATTTTCATCAATCGTTCCTTGTTTTGTTGGACTTCGAAGGTATATATTTGCGTGGTTGTGACGAATAAACCTTGTACGTTGGCTCTGCTGTCTGTATCTTTCTTCTACTAGTACTTTGTTTCTTTTTTTCTGTTTTGGTTTTTGCGCTGGTTTTCTAATTCTGCTGTAAAATAACGCACAGTATGAGCAGTGCAGCTGCTTAAGTCGAGCTTGGTCCGTGTGCAGCGATGTTCTCAGCATAGCCACGTCGGGAGAGAGGGAAAGTGTGCAGCGAGAAAGAAAAACTAGCACGAACTAGGAAGAAAAAAATGAACTTCACGTAACTTTGCTAAGCGTTCCCCTCGGCTCTGCTGTTCGGTAGTGCTCGCGATAAAAGAAAGCTAAGCCTAACAATTTTTATAGCGAGTATGCCGCACCAAGCATCTACATTATATGAAAATGTCATGATAGCCTAGATTAGGGGTTGACAGCACACCATAAAGTTTTATGCGGACACCGGCACAACGTCAGACCTCTCCCCCCCCTCCTTGTCCCTTCCCATCTAAAGGCAGACACGGCAGATTTGCCCCTCAACGGCGTTTTCGCTTCACTTGTAATATATATGTTTGAAACTTTGTGCCATACGTGCTGAAAAGATACATAACTGTTCTAGTTTTGTATATTCAGTCAATTCGCCTAATTTTTTTCTTTACCTGCCAAGGCTCTCCCTTTTTCTGTTGCTGTGCTCCCCCCCCCCCCCCCTTTGTCGGCATTATTTAGCCTGGCCGTCCACCTCAAACATTTGCTCACCCTGCCCGAGATGATTCACAAGCATGATAGTTACAGCCATGTGCTCAAGTCCTGCTCAAGTCCTTTGACGGTGCTTGAAGAAAGCCAGCACAAGCACGGGACACGATAAAGAGGCAGACGCAAACACCTCTCGAACACTACGATTGCATGGAAGTTCATAGGTAAAAAGTTAAGGGTGTCAAAAGCAATCGTTCCATCAGACTATTAAAGCTGCAATTAACATTCCATGGTGACGACCATGTTTGTTGGTGTATTACGCGTGGAAGTAGAGCGCTTTAGTCGTCTGGGTTTACACACTCAAAGATTCTTAAGAGACATTATCTAAAATTGTTTTTAAATGCATTCAAAAAAGTCGCCTTCACCTTGTGAAGAATATAGTTTATATAACCAGTTCAAAAGGCTGGAAGCTGCTGGTTAACCTAAGGATCTGCTATACGCGGTGGCTGAAGTTGTACTTCAAAAGTCAAGATGCCGCAAGCTCTAGTACTGGTATACCAGCACAATACATTCGGGAGATACCGTTTGAATTCTTATATATACTTACGGACATAAAAATTTCCCAATATCAGTGAAGGTTGCTGGGCGACGGGGCTTAAATGTTGTTCTTTCGTCTCCTTGCAAACTTGCTATAGCTCAGGTGTCTATAGCTTGTGGAAAGACTAGCAATCAGGTGTGCACTACGAAACACGAGCGTTGTTTCACTAAACGTGCCACATGCATTGTGCACAACATTCTGTTGACCTGTGATAAGGTAAACATCGGTCAAACCAGCCGACGTATCAAAATACTAGGCTGCGTGAGCATATTACGCTTATGTGTATTCCAACGGGGGCGCTTATATTGCACTTCGCTATCGTGAATGTGATTGCCACCCGCTTTCCAATAACGTGACTTATCTGGGAAGATTGAAGGGCAAAGAAGAACGCGAAATTGTCGAGACATACCACCCCAGGAAAAGCGAAGATAAGTCCATAAGCACACCGTCAGTTTGCCTCATTGACAAATGCGTTGCAATGGTGGCGAGAAATTTGATAGTGCACTCTATCTTTCCTCGAATGACGCTGTAGGTGATACTGACGTGCTGCACGTGCGTTGTGAGGTCACTTGGATGCATGCTTATCTTCAATAAAGTCGCAGTTGCTAGTTCCAGCGGTGTCTGCGTCTGCCTCTTACTCGTGTCTCGTGCCATAGCCTTCTTTGAGTATCGTGAACCAAGTGGCTCATACTATTCCGGCTCTTCTGCTTCGATGGTGCTTTAAAGCTCGTCGCGACGCAGGCACCGAGGTGCTGGTGATGGAGCTTGCCCGGACGTGCCACGTGCTCACGCCCAAGGTGAAGGAGCACCCTCCCATCATGTGGGGCTACCTGCAGCGTCTCAGCAGCGGGGGCCGCAGCAAACGCTGGTGCCGGCGCTGGTTCGTGCTCAAGCCCGACAACCGCCTCTACTGGTACAAGAACGAGCACGTGAGTGCCATCCACACCATGTAGCAGCATCTGTGTACAGTGGCGTCCGCTGGCAGTGTGCCGCGCATCGAAGCGTAGAGACGCGTTCGCACACGCGGGAGATTCTCTATGTCGTCTACTACATCGCTTGAGCGCGCCATTCCGTAGTAGCCAGGCTACTTAAAGGGGTCGTGAAACGGCCGCTTTACAACTACAATGCGGCACCATCGGCAGCCACATGCGCTAACTGTATCATCAGCCCGAGTGTACCTGCATAGACGCTTTGCCTATCGAGGAACGCGGAACTGTATATAAGGCATATCGAGCACGTGCAAGTGGCGCTCATCGGCGTCTGCCATACGCGATCCGCGTTCCACAAAGACGCTGCTTAATATGACGCCAGAGTTCAAGTTAGCGCCAATTGCGTATGACAAAGACGCTGATGAGTGTCCCAGTTGCACGCACTCGCAAGTACCGAAGAGTTCCGCGTTCTTCGATAGGCAAAGCATTACTTATGATGACGTCACCTAGTTAGTGCGTGTGGACGCCGGTGGCTTCGCATTGTCGCTTTAGAGTGAGCGTTTCGCGACCCCTTAAAGCATCGGTGTCTCTTATAGTGCAGCAAGAGTTGGCACGCTCGTGTGCGCCTGCGCCGCTTCGATTCTATGCGCGGCCGCGTCGGCTACACTGGCGCTTCGCAGAGCGCTGCCACGCTGAGCCATGCTCACCCTAAGAGTACACGGCACTGTACGCGTGCATTCTCGCGTTTAACTCCCACGCTCCGATTTGATTGAGTGGTGCAAAAATGACTTCTTGCAGCGTACTTTCATAATGCTACTTAGCACGAGGCAGTGGGTTCGATTCTAAGTACAATGGTAAAAAACGATCTGATAAAAAAACTGGCTACCACAACCAGCCCCGATTTTAAATGAGTTCCAGCAATATTGTTAGAGCAAGATCATTAATTAGGTTAAGTGGGGCGGCTAACAACTTGCTCTATATCTGCAGTTGAGTTCTCGGCATCTTAGTCTCTAGAAAACAATCCTGCGGCTCGATTGGGCAGTCTTAACTTGTCACTTAGATGACTCTGAATAAAGAGACGCCAGAACTCTCCTAAGCGATTATTATACTCTCATCGAAAAGTAGTGGGACGCACAGGGCAGTTAACCTGTGTCCTCAAAGCTAGTGAAATACGAGGCGAGTCAGGACTCACGTAAAAAAAAGTAACACATACTCTTTCTCTTTCTTCTTTATCGTTTTCTTCTTCGAGTGTACAGTGTCCTTTTTTTATGAAAGGGAACACGTGAGCGTGTGGTCAGCGCTCTGCAACGGCTGCTAATAGCGCCATCTGCCGAGAGATATGAAAAGTGCGTCTGCTTTACGCGGCATTGTCCGCAGCGAGGGCGAAGCGAGAGAGCAATCTAGCAACGCTTCTCCAACGACCATAACTCGTTATTTTGTTTGGTAATAGTTGACGCTAAAAGCGAAAGCGCTTTCTTTATCTGTCCGTTGACGGTGCTCTAGGTAGCCGCGGTAGAGCGCAGACCATGCACGCTCACGTGCTTTCTTTTATAAAAAGGGACACTGTACGTTTCTTAATAAAAGTCCATTAAAAAAGTCAGTTTCACCACAATGGCGGTGCAATGAATGCGATAGCAATAAATTGGAATGTCACGCTGAGAACGGCTAGCAGATGATGACACACGAAAACACATGCAGAAGGAGAGCCAACTAACGTTTACAACTCAACGCTTAACGCCATGTTTAAACAAAAATGACACACAAAACGTAATCACGGGTACAAATATGAGTGCGAACAAACACTGTGTTTGAAAAGCGCGCTCGTTTCGCAAACTGGACCTGCCCAGGGAGCGAAGTCGAGCTTTGTGGCTCAGGCAACTAACGCAATCATTCCGGTGAAACGCCAAGGCACACGATTCTTCCCACCGAAGGATAAGCGCGAGCGCACAAGCACCTAACCCCCGCCCCCATGCGTGGGGAAAAGTACATACGCGTGACAGATAAGCACGCGTTGGCGCATTGCGACGAGCTGCATGGGTGCCGAGCGTGGGTGGCTTTTAAAGACGATAGTCTTTTTTTCGGACCTTCGAAAGAAAAATTTCGGTCTGTCTGCCTGTCTCTCTGTACATTTGTCTGTTTTTCCTCCTTTAACGATACCTCAAACGGCCGACCCCATCCGCAGCGCCCACCGATATTGTTCAAGGTTCAGCGTTCATACTTGTGCGATTTTCAATTAAAAAGCAATTATTGCGCATATCTGAGATACCATAACAAGACGTCGATGTTTTGTATGTGCGCCTTTCTACTACAGAAAGCACACACAAGTAATTTTAAGGACCGTAGCGTTTATCACACTGCGCTGACAGTGCAAGGTGATGCTCGAAAAGGCGAGTGTTTCCAGCGCTTTGCTAAGACGACATGGTGGTGGCACCTGTCTGTCGCTTTGCGTTCTACACCTTATCGCCTCCGAGAATGGCACGCATATTTCTCCTCTTGCACGCGCGCCTTCGTTTTCAAAGATAACTGCCAGATGGCGCTCGTGTCTAACGTGCCTAGATGCGCTTGTTTGCCTCCGTTACACGCTCCAGGCACCCTAATGCAGCGCCTTCAGAATACCATTCACCGATTTTCTTGCTCAGAACATCAAATAAACGTTTTTTTTTTTCACTCTCTCCAGACGCAAGGCTATCGTCTTTCGACGACATTTACAGTGTAACATTTAGATTAGGGCCAATTTTTTTTTCTTTAGTTTTCCTAAATGAGGATACGTATACATATACGGTGCATGGCGGCACTGGTGGCAACGGTAAAAACCAGCCGAGATTATCCATATAAATGCTATGAAAATAATAAGGCACGCCGTTGGGTGTTCGTAAATTTAAATCCGGGTCGTTTCCTGCATTTCACCCCGTCGAAAGGCAGCCACCGCTGTCGCTGGTCGCACTCACAACTTCGTGGTCATTAACTCGACGCCGTATAGCAATACAGCTGTGTCTACCTCGATAAAAAGAGCGAATCTGTACACCCAGCGAAACCGCGATGCCGCGTGTGAAGATAAAACAGTTCACTTTTTTTTTTTTTTTCTGGCATACTGATCGGTGCACAAGAACTGGTTACGTAGTGACCTGCTCACGACGCATTACAACTAGCTGCTGATAGACGGCAATGCAAATGATTATTGATTGATATGTGGGGTTTAACGTCCCAAAACCACTATCTGATTATGAGAGACGCCGTAGTGGAGGGCTCTGGAAATTTAGACCACCTGGGGTTCTTTAACGTGCACCCAAATCTGAGCACACGGGCCTACAACATTTCCGCCTCCATCGGAAATGCAGCCGCCGCAGCCGGGATTTGAACCCGCGCCCTGCGGGTCAGCAGCCGAGTACCTTAGCCACTAGACCACCACGGCGGGGCGCAATGCAAATGCTCCTCGTGTCGCTTACGCTTCCTTGCCTGCGTTCAGCCTGTCGAGAGTTGTACAGAGTTGCCATACTTGTGCTGTGTCTATTTAATCCGTTTGCATGTTTTATTATTTTATCTTTCCGTTTCGATTTTTTCCCCGAGAGCCGAGTTTTGCGTTTGCTACCGCGATGCCTTTGTCGCCGATTCGACAAGCTGCTTACTACCGAACTTCTCTAGCGCCACTAATGAGCTTATTAAGGCGTTACGTTAATGATCAATAATTAAATACCAGACCCGATTCGGCACTCCATAGTTTGCGTGAATCGATTACTGCGGGGCTATAAATTACAAAGCAGTCTCTAATGTGTTGTTATATCTTCAAAGACCCCTGACACAAAAGTTTTCATTTGTGGTTTTATCGCTTCAAGCTAAAGGCCAAGCCCTCAAGAGCCTATAGAATGTGCTCGTAAGGGTGAGTGCCCTAAAACGTTACTCCGTGCTTTTATTGTAAAAGCTAGTTTCAGTTCCTACTGTAACATGACGTCACGACATGGTATGCGCTCCTCGTCCCGTGATAACACGAAATATCGTTACACACTTCTGCCGCTGCTGGGCTCCATGTCTCTGTTGGTGACGCTTAATTGCTACTGCATGCTTTGGTACATTATGTCACAGAACTAGCCGTACAGGCGCGCAAAGTCACTTTCATTGTCGCAGTAACTTGACGTCGTTGTCAGTGGGTGCTACGCGCGACTATTCGGTGTGGGCCTCAGCTCCAGCCTACACTAATAAAAATGATCGAATAAAAACGTTGTCTTTTTATCTGACAATAATCGTCATGCGGCTTGCTTGCGCTTCCTTTCTTCAAAACTCGGCGCTGGCCTCTTTCCTGTTAAGAAGGCTACGACACGCTGACATACTGATGTCGTTCGTCGCCTGAAAGTGCCGGCCGCTGGACGATAACGAAAGAAAAGGAACGCAATACAGATGACGATTATTCTTGCGGACAGACACCCATTTTACTCGATTATGTCTTAGTTTAGTCATCGACATCGATCCATTGGACTCGGGCGGCTTCGTTGGCTTTCTTTGGGCGGCCCACAGTTGCTGTTATAATGTGAAAATGACATATTACCGCGACATATTGGCCGCATTCATATAAAGCGTCCTTCACCGTGACGCGCCGAGACCGTGGTGGCTCCTGTCCATTCACAGCTCGCATGTGTCACGTACTCAAGCTTGACTGATGAGAGGGGTTTAACGTATATGATTATGGGAGACGCCGTAGTGGAGGGCTCCGGAAATTTCTACCACCTGAGGTTCTTTAACGTGCGCCCAAACATGCTCGATCTTCTGGTGAAGACAAAGAGGAAGTGTTCGGGGGAATTTATTTAGTGTTCGACGGATTCGCAGTTCTCCACAGTCGCCTTGACTTTTGGGCACAAGTGCAACCTAATAAATAGGTTTGTTTTACAAGCCCGCGTACTGCAGTATCGCTACAATATCTCGTCGGTATCTTGTGAGCTTTGCATTTGCTCAGAACCGTCTCTGTATACAGGAGACTTCTGTGGCGGGGTAAAGTCATCTTCTAAAACTGGAGTCAGTGCCCCTTTAAGAATACCAGGACGCTGATCGATTCGTATACACTAACGTTTTTTTCTCTTTTGCACTGTCTTTATCGTGCTTAGTGTGTGTCACTAAAACGAGACAATAAACCATCCCCAGACGACACTGCTTCTCTCGCCTCAATGTCCACTCCCGATCAGTCAACCCTTGTACGACCATGTTGCTACAAGCTCGCATGTAATGAACCAGGCTGGGCGTTCCTCTGACAGGGTCAGTGTTGCAACGACCCGCGAACGTTTTGACGCTTCTATGCGGGCCTCTCCATTCCGTCTTGTTTGAAGAATTCGCCGTAGGAAATGCAAGTGTCTTTTTTTTTTTGAAGGTGCATAGCGTGAGGTCCTTACAACAGGTGAGCCTTACAGGTGTTGCAGCTATAGCACGGAGCGCATCCTATATACACTCCAAGTTTTCTCTACATAGATCTAGGAGTGTAAAGAAAAAGTCATCACCCAAGTACTCCGTACAAATGGTTAACCAACGAAAGCTGAAGCGTTCGTCTGCCTAAACATAGAGTAAGAGACGGCTGCTCCTGACAACTGTAACAAATGCGGATTAGCACAGGTAGCTCGCTCTCACTTAATATTTTCGAAGACCTCGAGGCTTCTTACGGAAAGCCAGTAACACTAAGACACGTGTTGAGCAGTGTGTATCTGAAGCAATTACCGCTATTAAATTTGTACAGCGTGCCAGCCGAACGATGTTGAGATTTTTTAATCCGTGCTGTCATTTCCTTATCACACGAGGGCATGGTTACCATAATTACTGGATAGCTGAAAGCTCTCGCATAGTAGAGTACAGTATACTCTAAATCGTTGAACTTTTCCTCTAAACACAGCTGACTTTGAAGTCTGCACGAAAGACGAACAAGGCTTTATCAAGTGTGAGGCCCGCGCGATGGCTTGATGCTTTTCTATAGTAGAGTACTAAGTGCTCTAAATTATTAACCACTTTTTTCTAGCACACACCTCTAATTGTACCTGAAGTAAGATGACGGTTTTCTGCCTTCGCTTTCCAAACATTATTTCCACTCCAGCATTCTTTTTTTTACAGCGAATGCTGTTACGAGATCAAAACTCAGGTCAAGCGTGGTGCCGTAGTTGTCCGCCGCTGCCGCCGCCGCCGGTGTCCGTTACCACATCGCACGAAATTGGAAAAAAAAACTATTACCAATGCCACAGTCGGGCTCGAACCCGAGTCCGCTGGGTGCCAGCCAAGTATTATATAACTGAGCCATGCCGGTTTTTTTTTTCTTCATTAACTGACTCACGCCGGTGCTTGGGACTTGTTGGCGAACTTGCCTTAGGCAGGCTTCATGTTGGGAAAGCAATCACGTTATTACGACTTATATAAAGCGTTTTAAAACAGCGAAAAAAAAAAACAACCGGTTGTCGCACAATGTGAATAGCGTAACAAGTGGGTCGTCCAACGTTCCAACCCATTACTGCGAGGCTTGTTCTTGTTCATTTATTGACTGTGGCGCATACCCACTTCAGGCATAATTCCTCATCGTCGTCAGCCCCTGCATGAACAATTGCCACGAAATTTCTTGCAAGTGTTTAGCGAATACTGCGCCTCTCAGAAGAATGACGAAAAATAGCATAGCGAATGGCGGCCTACTGCCCGAAAATTTGTATTATTAATGCCGTAGTGGGTATCAAGCAAGTGTGCTTGCAGCAGTTAACCAGTGAGTGTCTAGAAAAGGCTCTGAAATGCCGCTCTTCTAGCTTCCTTCCGCTGTGGCTGTGCTGTGCCTTCCGTGCAGGCCTGGCGTTTTTTTTTTTTTTTTTAACCTCCTTGGGTATGATGCTGCGAACGAGGTAACCGATAACACAACCAATGGACAGCGCTTATTACCCCGCTGCAGAGTGGTTTTTCGTTTCTCCTAGCCATGTACAGCTTTCGCTGTAAAAACATGTTAAAAGATATACTGTACCGTACAGGTCTCTTATAGATGAAAGCACATGAATGTTTCAACAAGCGATTCTCACCAAGTGTTTCCCGCAGCCAGGTACCATAAACACTTGGATACTTCAGCTATACCCCCGTATTCTAGAACGTCCCTTCACTCAACGCTCCACCTTCACATGAGAAAGCCGATGGAAGCGCCATCTCTAGGCACGGTTAGTCACTGCATATCAGCAATAATCAGCTACGATTCTTGAGTAGCGCAGCGTCATTTTCAGCCGAGCGTGACGCAGTGCTCAACTCTGTCAAGTGAAGGATGGAAGTCGAGTCGAGCAGCGTTTGTGAATACCGGGGATAGTGCTCACTGCTATAGCTGCACTTTTTTTTCTTTAATGAGCGCGTCAATGACAACAAATGTTTGCGCACCATAGCTTCACGAGTGCATATTCACGCATGTCTCCAAATTGATTTGAAATGTGCATTGTAATTTTCTATTCCCTCGCATCTCTTTTTCGTGAACGCTGCCTCGGTATCCCGCATAATGCGTTCCTCTATAGTTCAGTCTAACATGCATTCTGACTGCCTTTTTTGTTTACTTGATGTTATTTTATGTAAGTTCACTGTTTACTTTTCACTTGTGTTGCGTATTTTACATGCTGTTATAATTAATAATTTTATTGTTATTGTTAACCGAGGGTCCCACTGCAGTCGCTTGACTTTGGGACCCTCGTCTGCATACTACATTCTACGAATTTTGTATTTTGAATGAATGAATAAACTGAATGAATGAATGAATGAATAAACTGAATGAATGAATGAATGAATGAATGAATGAATGAATGAATGAATGAATGAATGAATGAATGAACATGGCACCTCCACCGTCTGACACGTGCACACGCCCACACAGGCCTACGACATGGTGGGCGCCGTGATGCTGGAGGCGGTGTCCGTCAGCCGTGTCGTCGAGGCCGGGGCCGAGCACGCCTTCAAGGTCGTCAAATCGCCGGGGACCACAACCAACTCCAACGCCATCTACTTCGCGGCCGACGACGAAGAGGCCGCCGGAAGGCACGCTTTTTTTGCTCATTTTCCGCGCGTTCGCGTGCACAATCTCGCAAATTCCGTACAGTGCAGCGAAAGCTAGTGTCAGTGCCGCTGAAAAAGATCCGTCCCTTGATGGTGGAATAGTTGTCTCAATGAAAACGGGCGCTCGCCAAGCATTCTCCGCGCCCAGCATTACACGGGCAACCATTCCACTGTCAGATGCCTGACAAGATTGGTGTTTACTGCTTCCCATCTTGACAGCCCACCAAAAGATGGAAACATAAAGGTTATTTTCATTCGTAAACGTAGGTTATTTTCATTCATTAATAAAGGTCTTTTTCATTTGTATAGTGAATGTATTCTTTTCATTCAACAGTGAAGGGAATGAAAACCCGGGTGATCAAGGGGTCAAGCTGTTTTTTTTGTTTTGTTTTTTTTACCGGTCAAGCCGTGTCAGCGCTGTTGTACGTGTTCTGCATGCTCTGCCTGGTCTTTTCGTTACTCTTTCCCTCCAATATGCCAAGCATTCCACAATCCTTGTGTGAAAGGGTGTGAAACAATAACTCAGCTTAGACCAATACTTTATGCGCTGAAAATACTTATCATTAATTTCACCACCAAAAGTTCACTAATGTATGAGGAAATCAATGCCAGAAGTCTCAGCTTTAAATTTCTTACCCAAATCTCTGATATTGAAATCACAAGTTTAGATGTTTGGTTTTTTTTTTCTTTTGTACTTTCACCTCAATGGCTCAACGAAACATCCTGCAGCTTGCTACGTCAAACCTCCTGCTCCCTCACAAAGACACCGTACAGTCTCAACGGAAAAAAAAACTATTAGCAAATGTGAACGGTGCCGGGAGCCACAAAATTGCGACACGTGGCATTGCGTCTCACGGGCATGCCGATAGCGATATTGCCATGCACATTCGATTTTCCAAAGGCGGGGTTGGCTGGCTAAAAGCAGCCCACCTTGCGGTTAGCCCCGTCCGAAGACCAACATCCTAAATGGCGCTCGTTCGTTGCTTATCGGCAGATGTGGCTATGCACTCTGGATATTCTTTTTGTTCGCTGAAGTTGCGAGCAGTCGTATCTATCCCAGTTGCCCGAAAAATCTGCTTATATATATATATATATATCTTTCTGCCAGCCACCCCTTCTATGAAAAATGGAATGTGATAGTCACTTTCGAGATCGGCGCTCTCGGGAAAAAAAACGCAGTGCCACGAATCGCAATCTCGCTGCTCCGGCAACGGCTCACTTGTGTCAATCTTTTACCGTTAACACTGTGTAGTTTATCCTTACCGATTCAAACTACGTGGGGCCAAGTATCTATGACGTCATGCCAACGGGTGCGGGAACTTCGTGGCGGCGTCGCCACTCGCGCTCTTTATTTTTTTGTGTTTTTTTTTCACGTGTTCTCGTTTATCAAGCGCCTTCTCCCAACAAGCGGGGTGTTTATGATGTCGTGAAAGACGCCAAAGTAGCACGTTAACGCGAAAAAAAAAAGTCATCTTTGTCTATTGTCGCTTGAAAAGAACGCATCGAGTGTTTATTGAAGAGAACACAAAACGATGCAAAAACGATCGCAGGACGTGCAGTCCATAACGACGAGCCACACAAGGAGAGAAAAAAGAAAGTCGCGCGTACCATACAAATAATTATGATGAGGTCATTCGTATAAGAAAGAAGGCCACGGAAATCTGTTAATCTGCTAAAGTATTTATCGCAGTGCCATTGAGCAACTTAGTGATGTTCACATTTGAAGTAAAAAGTATTTTTCGGCTTGCTTAGAAAAGCGTAAGAAGAGGACGCTGCTGCGTAGGCAGCTAAATTCTTCCTGCTGCAGCTCGTCAGAACGAACAATGATCCTACCGGCGTACCGAAGTTTAGCCTGTACTAGTTCTAAAACCTTCGAAGCATTCTACTTATTTAGAAATGCATTATCTGGTTACGAAAACTTTGCAGCGCCAACATAGCCCAAATGCAATAGTTTCATTGAAATTCGTTACACGCAAAGAGGTGGGAGTATAAAGGAAGTTTAGGTAATACAGGATCAACGGGTAGGTAATAGTATGGCCCTCAAGTTGTGCGCTGGTAACATACCTAATTATTTTCTCCGACGAATTAATAAGCTTAAATGTATCAAAATATACTTGACTGGTGTAAAGTTGTAGAGCGCTAATTCTCGGAGCTAATTTAAATTGGCTTAACGCACGGAAAGCTTTCTAGGCACGCAGCTAATTAGGCATCACCGTGATTCTAGTTCCTTACCCCTCCTCTCTGTTTCCCCCTTGCACCCGTGAGGAGTAGCAGGCTGGAAACTCACTTTTCAAGCCACCCTCTCTTCATTAAGCATCTTCTTCTTCCGTGGTTCCTGGCTATTCTTAACCGACGCGACTATGGCAGCCTCTTGCCACACTGCACGGATTTGTGTGACTCGGGAGAAGTTCCCATTTTCCTTCGCTGTCCTCACTCTAGCCTCGAGTTCCTGCCTGGTTTCCCCGCCGGTTTCCTGTCTCGGTACTCATACAACGAACCGCCGCCTAAAACAAATGCGTTCATCTCTCCTCTCTTTTTGAGATGCCTCCCGCGTCCCTCAATTTCCTTCTCTCTGTTGCCAGAGCCTGTTCATCTCTGTCTGTCCATTTCCGGTCTTGGTGTGTGCTGCAAAAGAAACATACAAAAAAAAAACACAACAAGAAGGGGTACCGCGAAAAGGACTTCTATCGCTTGTGTTTACTATCTCCACCATTTTGGCTGGCCTCTGTGTTCATACTGCTTCCGCCACTCTCCCCACTCCTTCATTTTTTTTTCTCTACATCCCTCTAAGGACATCTTTAGAGGAATGTCCTAACTTTGTCTTATTTTGTGAGATGTAAGCCAATAAAGAACGGAGAACTTCCTCGTCTCGTTTTCTGTCCTTTGGTGGTTCTTATTCTTTATTGTGTTTGCGCTTCAAGCCACAAGTTTATTTCTCCTGAGATAACTGCATTTCGCCTTCGTTACGCCTCCCCACGCAGTTACAACCTCCTAAAACAGCTCTCTACATGTGCCTTCTTTTGTTTTCTTTTCATTGTAGCCATTGTGATGCATGCATGTAGCTTTGCGAGACCTTTGTATAGGCCAGGCTTTTCTATATCTCGATTCACGTTTCATCTATACGTCCTTTTGGCACTTCCCAAGTGACCGTACAGGATCACTACTTTGCCATTCGCTCTTCGGCAGCACCAGAAACATTGACCCTCAAGTTGGGGTCTTTAGTTTTCTTTATTGTTCTTCATTGTTCCTTGCTTATCTTGCTTTATCTCAATAGTTGCCTCAGTCTGAAAGCACGCTTTAGGAATACAATACTCTGATATACTTGCCGGGAACGTGTACTAGCGAGATATTTCAAATTTTTAGCATGTTTCGTAATCTTGGGTCATGCATCCCGTTTCAGGTTCTTTTCCTCTTGAAGAAACACTAATGCGAACCAACAAACCAATAAATTAGTTTAGACTGATTAGTTATGGTCTCAAATATATATTGTTCAATGTATCTCTATACGTTAATTAACAGATGAGGAAACTAATGTCGAAAGTTTCACATCTATACTTCCTGCTGAAGTCTCTTACGATGAAGTCTGTTACGACACGGACTTGGAACAAGCGACTTTAACAGCAATGTCACACACCGCGAAAGACAAGACTGGACTATGACTGAGTGTGCGCGCGTGTGCTGCCGAATGTGCTGTGTTTCTCTCTTCACTCTCTGCTCTCTATCTTTCATCTCCCCCATCCCTCTCCAATGCGCAGGGTAGCAAACCGGCTGCCAAATGGCTGGTTAACCTCCCTGCCGTTCTTTTCCCCCCATTTTCCTTCCTTCCTTCCTCTTACGGTGACGTCATGTATTTAAATGTGTGTGGGGAGGGAGGGGGTCGTTTTTTGGCCACATCAACCACACGAAGTTTCCTAAAACTTGGCATGTTAAGTCTGCGTAGACCTCAGCAGACACCGTCAAAAATTATGACGTCATGTTTACAGGAGTGACAACTCCAAAGTGGCGGTGGCACCCGCCTTTTTTTTTTCCTTGCGCATTTTCCTATTTACAAGGTGCTTTTTGACAGCACGCCTGATGTTTTTGATATCGGAAGAGTCTTTTACTAATAAGAGAAAAATCGTTCGTCCCCTTAGATGCACCCTACAATGTGATTTGAATTGAAATCGCGATGTGCTTTTTTTTTTCTTTCGTCCTTTATTTCCATCCCATCAATCTTGAATGCTTAATCACATCCGTGACCCCATCTAGGCAAAAAAAAATAAAACAAGATTAAAAGTGCATTAGCGAATTACCGTGCTTTACACACATGCATTTCTCGGGATAACTTTCTCGTGATAAAATGATAACATTTCTCTTGATAACATTTCTCGTGATAATGGTGTTAAGGAAGGCTAATTGGCTATCACCGTCCGAGTCCTACGGCTGCCGAGTATCTCACGCTAATATTTCTTTTCCATATCTCTTGTTTGATCGATACCTTTTATTTGACCACAATACTGCCACACGCCGAAATAGTTTTTTTTTTCGCTTTTTCTGCAGATGGATCAGTGCCTTGAACCAAGTCGCCTGCATTGCATCGAGGGTAAGTCAAAGACATTATTTCTGCAATCCTGCCTCGCTAAATATAAATGACCACTCACCCACCTTATCTAGCTTGTCTTAAAAGCTTCTCCCTCGCGACAGTGTAGGCTACATCAGCACCCCTCCGCAATCGGAACTCCTCTACCATGGCACCATCAATTATCTTAATGCCTTTGTATAATTTAATTCAGTCAAGTAATACTGATTCGTAGTGTATAGCTAACCTCCGAATAAGCAATATGCTAATAGCGAATATATATAATTCATGCTCGTGGTCTACATTTAGGAGCGGCTGCACCGTTAGCTGTTTCATCAGGGGAACGACGCCCCGTGAAGCTTTTACCAAAATTAAGACGATATTAGGACGACCGCTCGTATAAAAACGGCTAAGTATTCCCGAATAGAAAGAAAATTGCCGTTAAAACGACTCTACTTCGCTAAGGAAGACTCTATCAATCTTAGTCCTAACGCCGCCCAAATCCCAATCTTGCGCCTTTCTCTTGCATTAGCCATGTGCGGTTTCATGATTAAGCATCTAACGTTCTTGTCCGGCTTTTTTTTTTTTTTGCATGTTGAAGTGGAGTAACCACGCTCACATGCTAGGCTCCTCTGTTTGTTCATTAGTCGTACGTCAGGTGCGGCTCCCAATGTGGTGTTGTAGGTGAATTATTTGAACAACTTATATATGGAGGAAATATGGAGGATATATATGGAGGAAATTATCGTCGCAGGCCACGGCTGCTGGATCAAAACGCGTGATACAACGGCCACGCCGACATTACAAGTCCCTGTTTCGTTGAGGCGGTAGCCTGAAAAGCCTCATCCAACGTCATAAGAGACCATCGGTGACGTAGGCGTCAACACAAGTGACGGAGCAAAAAAATGTGGCAACGCTACCTTATGAAACCATCATGACGTCACACATGACATCACCGTATGTCGTCATCAGACAACGTCACTCGGTTAAAGGTGGAAGCACGGCGAGGCCGCGAGAGGTCAAGTGCATAAGCTGCCAATTCTTTTGATCTCGGAGGCAACGCGAAACCTCATTGGGTGCACATTTATTCTGGGAAAGGAGGGAAGGGGGTGGGGGAATCAATATGATTGGCTGAGAAGAAAAAGATCGCTTTCCTATTTGAGTCGCCTTATAGGCAAACGCAGAAGATGCCGCGTGACCTTTTGTTGCTTTAGTTTTCAAAAAAAAACCGCTAAAGCTATGAATTTGAGTGGTAAGCAGCAGTATATGTCCAGCGAAGCTGGTCATCTTCAACTCTTTCGAAAACCACTGACTTTTCTTCATCTTGACAGCCTTGCCCCGCCGCGGTGGTCTAGTGGCTAAGCTACTCGGCTGCTGACCCGCAGGGCGCGGGTTCGAATCCCGGCTGCGGCGGCTGCATTTCCGATGGAGGCGGAAATGTTGTAGGCCCGTGTGCTCAGATTTGGGTGCACGTTAAAGAACCCCAGGTGGGCTAAATTTTCGGAGCCCTCCACTACAGCGTCTCTCATAATCATATAGTGGTTTTGGGAGGTTAAACCCCACATATCAATCAATCAATCTTGACAGCCTTTTCAGTAGAGCGCGCTTAGTACACTAAAAAATTCCTTCCCCCCCTCCCCGTCTTTCTTTTTAAGTACCCATGATATGAGCTGTTTGTCGTGCCCTTCCTAACATGGCGGACGCCTGGCTGCCCTTTCCCGGCATTAGTCGCGCTTCAGCGACGTCCTTGTTCAAATCTCCTCGCATATACATTCGAGATCGTTGACTTTCCCGTCTTGCGTGCCAGGGTACCTCGTACATGGACACCGTGGTCAGCAACATGCACTCGCCGTGCGGTTCCCTGCCAGACCCCGACTGTCAGGGCTACCTATGCAAGCTCAGTCAGCAGTGGAAATCTTGGAAGAAGAGGTTCCTCGTGCTCAAGGACGCCTGCCTGTACTTCTACAAGGATCGGAATGCTCCAGTCGCCGTGGGTCAGTATACAGCAAAGCAAACAGGTTACCGCGCGTACCACGCTACAGAGTGGCGTTTATACTTTGCAAGGTGGTCTTAGTAGGTGCACTAGTTGGCTGTACACGGTCTTCAAGTGTGCATCGTTGCATAGATGATGTTGAACTGTCTAAATACGCACGTAGGGGCGTCTTGAGTTGTGATTCAGCACCTGTGTTTTGTACATGTATCTCTATCTTTCCATGTTTTATTTTTTGTTAATATTGCGCGGTTGTCCTCGAAATACTTTGCAAGTTGAACTATACGCATTGTTTGTCGAAGTCCTGATTATTCTCATGTGCGGAAAGTTCAAGCTTGCCTGTCCTTGGCGTCTCAAATGTTTCAGATTCCGTCTCAAATATTCTGAGGCACACGAACATACCTCCCTGTTTCTGGGAATTATATAAGATATACTGTAACTTTTCACTGCTGAAATACGGTTGTCTCCAGGAGCAATTGAAGCTTTGTCCGAATTGGTTCAGGTGCTAGCCGTCCAACCTTCGTAGCTGCATCTATTAAAAAAAGCTCCCAACGCCCAATTAAATAGGAAGGCGATGAGTTCAGCCAACTGGTACACGTTAGTATACCCGAGACAGCACAGTCGCACATGCGCTAAAACGCTGCTACAGGGTTTAAATGGCTCGTTTAGTGACAGTAGTTGCTAGTTTCAGCCTCTTCCATATGTCTTTTTTGTATAGGGCTCGGTGTCTTACATGTGGATTTTCAATTGCTATTGACTCGAATGGTAATCAACGTAATTTTGGGACATAAAACCCGAAATATTCAGTTAAAAAGAGAGAAAGGTAAAGAAAAGACAGGGACGTTAACCATAAAAAGGCTCTGGTTTGCTACCTTGTGCTTGAGAAAGAGAAAAGGGGTGTAAAATAGTGAGAGAGAGAAAAGAAGAGTTCGGGACGACAGGGTAAAAATAGTGATCCGAGCACTGTGGGAAGCAACGCTGTCCGCGCACAGTCACAGTTTGTCTCTAAGTCCGGTTCCTCGAGTGAACCGCAACAACGCCTTAAGAGCAGCTATTGTTGCAGACCGGGTAGCCCAGGGCCCGGGGATTTTGTTCTCTGTCAGGGAACGGTTGCCCAGCTGGCCTATGGCGATTGAGAGGGTTGCTCTTTCTCAGTTGAAGCGAGTGCTGTCACAGAAGGTGCGCAGCTGTTTCATGGCACCCGCATACTTCACAAGACGGGAAAAATTGAGGTGGTCACTATTATATACTAAAGGCTCGTTAACATCTACTACTTAGACCAGTCGCGTTACCCAGTTACCAGTCATAAAGTGACTGGTCGCAACTGGTCGCAAATGGCCGCTTTGGTAGCGAAGCGACTACTTTGGCACAGTAGCCCGTTGCCCGATGGCTAAGTCACGTATCTGCACTCACAAATCTCTTGATGTTCAGGTACAGGATGTCAGATCATATCTCTTGATGCTCAGGCACAGGACACCAGATTAGATCTTTTGATGCTCAGGCACAGGAGCCAGATTAGATCTCTTGATGCTCAGGCAGAGGACATCAGATTATTTCGTAGGCGCAATGCCGATGCTATAGTAGCCGTGAGTCCTGTGTGGCGACGGGCATAAATCGCACGCACGTGTGTGAATGCTGGTCATCTTCAGCCGCTTTTTGGTCGCCATTCTCAATGGGTGGCGTGGCCGCGGGCGTTACTAATCCTGCGCAAGGCCTGAAATCTCGTCGTGCTGGCCCATAAGCTGTTGATTGACGTGCTCTTTGTTTCCCTTTCTTCTTCTACGCAGGCGCGTTTCTTCTTCACGGTTATCGCGTACAGAGCTGCTCTATGACCGGTAAGAAGAACACGTTCGAGGCGATACCCCCCGAACCTTTGATGCGGCATCTGAGATTCCTGGCTGACACCGAGTACGAGAAGAAGCGGTACGACTCCTTCTGGTCACTCTTCTGTCTTTACTTTACCTAAACGTAACTTTTTTATCTTTAATGCCGTTTCTTATTCAGCAAGAGCGCATGCCGAGCAAGAACATTGAGAAAACAAAAACCAGACACACCAAGGACAGTGGACATGTGTCCGCAAATAAATATAAACCTTGTCACCTTTTACATTGAATCATCGTGTCGGGGATTTCTGTTTAAATATCAGTAAGAAATACTAGCATATTGTATTGTAGAATGAAGTCAACGTAGATGTCGCCACCAGAAGTACACTAACGACAGAGAACACGTCCGTATATAGAGAGGTGCACCGGGATTGAAGGGAAATAAATATAACTCGGCAAACGAAATTTTTATATATTGTGCTTTTAACCTGTGCCTATAAATACAAGGAAATATTTCAAGTTCGAAGCGGTGCATTTAGACTTTTTTTTTTTTACAACTATTAATCGACTCATAAGATTTTGCAAAATAATGATAGGTGTCTTTATGTTATCCCTTTATCCTCTCCAGCTCCGTGTTAGAAACAGATTTATTAAAATATCTGCATGCTGTACACGTTACTGCAGAAACAGTTTGTCACTTTTTATATTTACGTTTCTAGTAAAGCTGCGAAATTGCAAGTAAAGTTTTTATTTTCTTCGCAATTGCGAGCTTTTAACATCATTTTTTTTTTGCTTCATCCTTTAAGCCAGAATTCTTTTCAGTTCGGTAATTAGAATATGTATTGTTTCCTTTCAAATGTAAGATATTCCGTGTGAGTACATTTCTTTAGTTTTATATTGAGGGCCTTCCACGTTTTCATTGATTTAACTTGGAAGGCAAAGCAATAATTTCGAATTGTTTTTTTTTTCTTTGTCAAGGAGAGAGAGACAAAGAATAGTAATGAAATTATACGCGTTCTCTATATCCTAATGTAACGATTTCAGCCTTTTAATAAATAAACCGCGAAGAGATCAGCGGGCCATCTACACTGGAAAAATAAAAAGGGGGGGGAGTCCTTCGATCTTTATTTGTTTTTTTGTTTTTTTGCGAGAGAGTTCTGGTTTGCACGTATATGACTGTCATTCAAGAATCACGTCCGCTCTTCTTAGGGGTGACACTCGTTATACTTTTTTCTGAGAGTCGTGTGACGCAGAAGCATAGCTCGGCATACTCACTCATGAGTACACTCACTCACAATCATTCATACTCATTTGAACGTGGTGAGCGTGAGTATGAGTGAGTACTGATGAGTATGAGTAGGAGTGAGTAGAGCGTGAGTGAGAACTCATGAGTATGAGTAAGAGTGAGTATGGACGTGAATGAGTGCTTTCAGTGTGAGTAGAAGTGAGTATGAACGTGAGTGGGTGCTCATGAGTCTGAGTAAGAGTGAGTATGAACGTGAATGAGTACTTTCAGTGTGAGTAGAAGTGAGTTTGAACGGGAGTGAGTACTCATGAGTGTGAGTAGGAGTGAGTATGAACGCGAGTGAGTACTCTGAGTGCGACAAGGAGGGAGTATGAACGTGGGTGAGTACTCATGAGTGCGCGTAGGAGTGAGTATGAACGTGAGTGAGTACTTTGAGTGTGAGAAGGAGTGAGTATGAACGTGAGTGAGTAGGAGTGAGTGTGAATAGGCGTGAGTATGAACGTGAGTGATGACCTATGAGTGGGAGTAGACGTGAGTATGAACGTGAGTGAGGGCGAAGGCTGAAAAAATTGTGGTGAGTGAGTGTGAGTGAGTAGTGTCTCAAAGTGCCGACCTATGCGCAGAGGAGAGTTATATGCGTGGCCAGCCAGAACTCCTAAAAAAAAAGGTTAACGCAGCTTCGCACTAGTGAGGCTAAGCCTGAATCAATTGCAGTGCCGGGCAACCTTCTTCGTTTCTTATCAGTTTTCTCTTTCTTTCTTTCCTTTTCTGCTTCCCGGTCTTTTTAATGATTTTTTATATTTATTTTTCTTTATGTCTACCTTTCTTATTTTTTTCCTTTCTCTCTTTATTTCTCGCTTGCTTTTTTTTTTACGTGATCTTACCTGAGCCACGCCAAGCGGCGCACCGGTTACGACTACCCGAGCCGCTAACGTTTTGCGCGCTTAAAACGAATCAGTGGGCTCCCTATTACTTCTTTTTTTTTTTTTCTTAGAGTGTGCGAAGAGGACAGTCGTTATGTGCCAAACTGTCCGAAATAACCAGGCTCACGTTGTTAAAAACGCAATACCTAATAATTGAAACTTCTGTGCAGCACGGTTTTATTTGGGTAATAACTTGTCAAAGCGGTGAAGGTAACGTTTTCCTGCTTACACGGACAAAGGCATCACAGTGCGCTACTCTTTTGCAAACATGGACGTCGTCGATGTAATGATATAGAAGCTAACGTGCCTTAACTTCAAGTATCTCGATACAAGTGTAATTTTTTTTTTCGCCTACAGCAATTGTTCTCTGTAGGGGTTATTTCGGTTCCGTTTTTTCGACGTCCATTAGATGTTAAGCCGGCTCGACTTAAAGCCTCATCGACAGAGTAGTCGGGGAAAAAGATCGATTACAAGTATTATTTTTTTTCACCTGGCTCTAATAGCTTTATTTCCAATAAAATTATTTTCAGTATACACATACTGTGAAGCCCTTGTTGGATGGAAGAAGTAATTGAAACAATTTTCTCAACGTGCCTTGCCCCCCCCCCCCCCCCCCACAAAAAAAAAAGCTGCAGCAGAGGCGGCCAGAACACACGCAGAGGTCATCAAGATTTGATCAATTCATGCAGGTTTTTTTTCTTTTAGATAATTATTAATGAAAAACGTTTTTTTTTTCTTCTAATCTCTTGAAGGACTAATCACTCGGAGGAAACTTTCAAAGGAGTGGCACGACGTTATACCGCCGAGCTTTCCCCTTTGTGATGGATCGCTCGCGTTACTAGCATCGCCAATAATCACAGAAACATGATTGTTATTTCCTACACATGCTTTGCTGTCTTTACGTGAATTACGGGAACTCATTGCTGCAGTATGTACGAAGTTACGGGTTAAGACAGAACAACGTATCGGCAGGCACAGGTGTAGGCGGAGTACTCCATTACGAACCCCCCAAGATTCACCGCGGCGCCCCGCCCTACTTCCCCTTCGGTCGAGTTCGAAAGAAAACGAGCTCTGTTGTAAACGCAAAAATCTAAATGAAGCGATAGCGTGCTTCTCGTAGTGGCCTACCCCGACTTTCCGGAATTAAATTTGAGAAGTAAACAGTTATTGTAATGCGAATCATCGGTACTCGGTGGTCCATATCGCCAAAAGCATGTGTTCCCACAATCCTGCGGATTAAAAAAAATAGGTATATGAGTGGTCCTATGCTGTGCAAAAGAGTGGAGAATAATTGTGCCCTCCCCCTCTCCCTCTTTCGTGCGCATCCTTATGCCGACCGCCGTTCCGTGTTTACAATTTTGGCTCTGTTTTAGACATTTTAGCAGTCAAATATTTCGTACGGGTGACGCCCTTCGCTCTTTCAGGCAACTATCGTTTTCCCAATTTTGCAAATACGTCCAAAGTAACATCTAAGGTGTACAATGAAAACTGACGTTTAACCGTTTGCTTCCAGGTGGCTCGCTTCCATGGAATATTCTATCGACCGGTGGATAAAAGTTTGATGGTAGTTTAAATTGTGTGAGTACGACTTTCATTGCTTGCTTATTCCAGATAGTTGGTACAGCCACAGTTTTGATGTAGGTTTTATTATCAAACGGTACAATTACACTTCATGCTGTTTTTTTTCTAGACACTGCTATTTTTTTATTATTTATGCGTAAAAACATGTTGCCGCCTGTGAGAGGCACTGGCTAAGTCAAACATGAAAGCACTGAACAGCATGCAAACTTTCCATTCAGTAGTTTATTTTTTTGTTTCACTTCATAAGCACATTGTACGCTTTCTCGTGTACTCTGTGCGTTCACCTGTGAACACAAGAGTCTCAAAGAAGCGGCAACCATCTTTCTTCGGTTGCAACTAGTTTGCCTTACTTTGGGTGCAACCAGACAGGGCGGTTGCGCAATCACAGGTCGGTCGGGAGCTGCTGTCGTGCGCGCTTCCCCGATCGCCGACACGAATGGCCATGACAACGAAGTGGCCGCCTACCTGGCTGCCTTTCGTGCAAGCTCGATATGCTTGCCACCGAGCCTCGACAGATCCATGAACTCCTAATCGTATTAAGCGTTCGTATTAAGCTCTTTATCAGTAGCAAACGCTACGTATATTTCAGAGAAATAAAAGAAATAAGCAAAAGCATGGAGGGTCGGCTGATCCCGGCAGGCATCTCCCTAAAGGGGAAGAGGGGAAAGGGAAGGCAAGTTACAATAAAGGTATTGAAGTAGAACTTTTTCTTTAGCAAGTTAGTGCAAGTTTTGCGGAACGAATAAGTTGCAAACGATACAAACACAAGAAGAAACATGGACGCAGGCCTACTACCAACTGTCCGTGTCTCTTCTCAGTGTTCGTCTCGTTTGCGCCGTATTCCTTCCGTAATGCAATAGAGGACATTTTTTTAATATATATTTTGTTTACATCAGTGATTCTCAACTAGGGGTGTGCGGAGTCATTTTTTGGGGTTTGCGAAATCTATCCACGAGAAAAAAAACGCATTTTTGTAGGTACAGTATGCCCCGCAACAACACCCCTCCTGTAATTTTTGGAACGTTTCACCGCATGCAGCACCGTGCACAGTATAACAAAACTGCAATACAATGGAGCTGACTTATGTTTATCTGTCTCCATGAGATTGTTGTAAAGCATTTGTTTCAGTTTTCTACGACACATGCGCCCGACCACACTTTTTCGTGGCTTTCAGATGTGAAGAGCGAACAGATGGAAACAAGCTGCACGACTTAGTGACGAGCTGCTGAGTTCGAGTTGCCGTTGCACTCTCGTTTGGCCGTTCTTTGCCAGGCAGAAACAAAATGCGCCTATATCACGCTGCATGGTGTTAATTTACTCATCTCCCCCCTCCCCCCTGCCATCGGTAAAGGGTCGCACATCACTTTCATCGGCACACAAGGTATCCCCGAATGTGTTTGTCGTTGTCAGTTCGAAAGGTGGGGTGTTGGGGGGGGGGGTATGTTTTTTGTGCTGGTGGTGCTGCTGCTGGTGTAGCTGTTAGTGACAACTTTCGTGATGGTGTTGTATGTGCTGGTAACTGCGTCGTAGGTATTGGTAACCATGTCGTATATGCTGCTGACGGTGCTGTATGTGTTGGTAACTGTTTTGTATTCGCTGGTGATGGTTTTGTATTCGCTGGTGACGGTTTGGTATGTGCTGATGATGGTGTCGTATGGTGGTGTTGGTAGTGGTGTCTGTCATTTTTGTATTTTTTAGCTCTTTCGCAGTCATCAAATGAATAGAGAATACGCTTAGATGTGTAATCAACTATGTATCTATGCCTGTTTCTTATCTATTTCTAGAGTTTAATGGTGCCAAAAGCAGCTCCAAGATGGATTTCTCTCCAACGGTGGCTCGGACAACTTTACGTGCGGTGTCCAACGCGACCTCGACGGAGGAAGGCACGGAAGAACAAAGAGAAGACCAAGCGAGAAAGAGAGAATGAACGATGCGCACACGTCTAGATTGCAGCGATATAGCCCGGACCTTGTATTCGGTGGGACTGCGTCTTCGAGTGGATACACCTGAAGAAGACGTGCCAGAACCCCGAGAGAAGATAGCGCAGTTTGTTGTGTTGTGCGCGGTTTGCGACGTAAGTTGTGTTTGAGGCGTCGTTCAAGCTATAAGAGGACACTATTATATTTAGGAATCTTGAAATTGGGTGTCTCTTCGCGGAGTTCGCCCCTCGTTAACAGTTGTGCATTGTTGTCGTCTTCTCTTCCGAATGGCGTGCGTTTCCGTACGGGGGTCAACAAAACAAACCCTTAGCTGCGCGCGTCGTGAAAAAAAAAAGTCCCAGGCGTTCTAACAATGGCATTGCGTAGACCATGGTGGCCCCCCTATCTTGTTTGTCGTGTTCGGATGGACGGATGATTGCTACTTCAGCGCATTTGAAGCCTTCGTGTGAGTGGTCAAATAAAATTAGTTGCAGCTTTCACTTTTAGGCATTGTAAATCGGAAAGCGCAAGTTCATTTCAGTTTTGCGCAGACCAAAGTGACGTGTATAAACGGGAAATAAATTCGCGAAAGTATGCTTAAAGAAGGGGATTAACAACAACGTCCCTCACTTTTATGCACGTCTGTTGCGGTTCTAAATGCCTCGAAAACAAAGCGACAGCTAGTATGTCGACCTGATCACAGAAATGTTACGAAGAGGAAGTGCATCAACCGTCGCAAAGGCACTCAAAAACACACACACAAAAAAGACCATCCACATGATCGGAGAACACGTTTGATATTACGAAACTCGCGCTGTTTGGTTAATTATACTGGCACCTGAATAATTGTTACCGCTTGCTTTTTTTTTCGTTTGCTTACCACCATTATGGTGAACGCATTGTTTTGTTTTCTCATTGACAATGGTAAATATCATTTTTCTCTATTATACCATTCTGAGCAATGCAAAGGCAAACAAGCGCAGACCACGTGTACCAACTCGTGATTTTTCCCCTACTGCATGGAAACAACGAAAACGACCCAACAGACGAGAACAAGCTACCTGTGAGCATGCAGTAGAAGTATTGTTTACATAAGCCCTTTGTTTTGCCAGCTAGGCTGTCCTTTTTGCTTTAAATACCTAGCGTAACAAAATAACGGCAAAAATATATTATATTGTGCAGCTCCTACATCACGTGTCTACATCCGTGATGCCCTTGGGCTTACGGTGTTTAACCAACTAATTTCATCGCGTCCCCAACATCTGACAAAAGTATGTATACCACAATCCAATAGTCTGGCAGATGACAAACCTACGACCGTCGCCTACTATGCCTCTTATTGGGTGCAGGGATTTCAAATATTATTGCCACATTTTTACCGGGTCACCACGATCCTATTACAGGGCACACCACATGTTTATGGGGAGTCGCACTTTTGTGACATGGCGTGCGTCTTCGAAAAAGCTTTATGTAGACATCAGCCGCGTGAACAAGTGACCATTGGTCGAGCGACACACGGGGACGTCAGTAACCTGATTTTAAACGCCGAGCGTGTGATAAAACCTCGGACAAGCCGCGGATAGCCACTGCCCATGGCTCCACAGCTGCACTTAATGATTACGCTGCATTGCGCTTTTGTAAAAAGACAGGCACATGATCGTGTAGAAGAAAGCACTAGAAATAACGACTCAAAATAGACGAACGAGCAACGCTTGCAGAGTGCCAAACGAAAACGGCGAACAACGTCGAACATGAACATGCCTCCGTGAACTCCTATACACTACACCTTCGCGCAGACACGACCTGAGGTTACCCGCGCTGCACAGCAGGACACAGTGAACTTTCGAAATCGATTATATTTAGATTACCAGTTTTACCTCCAGGAGTATAATTACGCCCGATGCTTTACGTGCAGGAGAAATCGCGGAACGCGAATGAGGCGTACCATAACACATTCATTGAAGTGTTAGAAAATATTAGGTTTATCATTTGCATTCCTGTGATCACCCTGAGGAGTTCGAGCACCTGTTGAATGAGTCCACGAATTCGTATTCCGTATTTCACTGCGCCGTCGCCGTATGTTCTCCGAGTGCATACCTTGAGAATCGGAACGCCATTTTGCTTTCGGCCCCACACATGTAGTTTTCGTTTGAAATTCAGAATTTGGCCACATTAAACGCAGGCTTCAACCGCGCTCGAGTTACGAGTTAAACGCCCCCTACGTGAATGGGTGAAAACGGCCACCTCAGATATACTCTAATATTAATAACCAAGATCCGCTGTGCGAGACATAACTATATACTTATAGAAAAACTTCCAAGTCACAATTTCTTATTAATTTGATAAGTAACAAACCGTTTTTCCGATACAAAAGTTGTTTGAATAAACGACATAGATAAATGGTGTGATCCTTTGTCCCGCTTCCCGCCCGAGTTGTGCTACTGGAAGCGGCACGACAACAAAAGAAGACCTAACCTCGGTGGCCCTCCCCTCTTTGGCAGCATAAAGCAAAATACCGTAAGTACCACTGTACATGCACCTCTGATCGTAAGTATCGAAGTGTTCGTAAGTATCGCAAGTATGACCTTGTAATCGACGCCTTAGAACAACCAGGCAGCTGCTTATGTTAGGGATCCATTCATCAGCCTGTACAGTGGAGAGAAACTGCTTCTGGCGCCGCATCTAATTCTTGGTTTACGGGTATCCTATATCGGTGTTACATGCATGTTTCCCATCTTTCCAGTGGCTCCGCCCGGGAGTAAACAGTCCGAGTTCGCGTTTGTCCCCCGCATCCCGTCGTGTGAACATGTCCTCTTTTCATGCAGCCTTTTACTTTTCACGAAATCGCTGCTCGCCCTATACTTCACCATCTAAACCCCGAGAAGGCCAACCATAAAATCGCAAACCTTAGGTCCAGCTAATCGCCATTCATACAATTCGCCCGACACATCAGCTAAATGGTGCAAAAGTTCGTCTCTTAAAATACTCTTGATTGATATGTGGGGTTTAACGTCCCAAAACCACCATATGATTATGAGAGACGCCGTAGTGGAGGGCTCCGGAAATTTCGACCACCTGGGGTTCTTTAACGTGCACCCAAATCTGAGCACACGGGCCTACAACATTTCCGCCTCCATCAGAAATGTAGCCGCCACAGTCGAGATTCAAACCCACGACCTGCGGGTCAGCAGCCGAGTACCTTGGCCACTAGACCACCGCGGCGGGGCTCTTAAAATACTCTTGCAGCCTATAGTAACCAAGACCTCAAAACTGGCCAAACGCATCCTCACGTATTCCCATCAATGGTATAAGACGAAATTGCATTAGCGGTGATCTTCATCTGACTAGGAAGTGTCCACCATGATTGTGTAGTGATTATGGTCCTCCACTGCTGAGCCGAAGGTAGTGAGATCAAAACCAATGTGGCCGCATTGTCGATGGAGACGCAGATGCATGAGGTCCATGTGCTTAGATTTAGGGGCACATTAAGGAACCCTAGGTGGTCTGAAGTTCTCGAAACCTCCACTATGGCGTGAATTATGATCATATCGTCACTTTAGAACGCTAAACCACACAAATTGTTAATATTACTCCGGAAAGGGCTCCCAGCAAGACCATTGAGCGCCGCCGAAGAAGATTTCGACAACTCCGACTGATTAAAGTGATTGAGGTGCTCGAGGAAGTCTGTATTTCTTATTTGGGCCCAGTTTTTTTACAGCAGTAATCTTAATTAAAATCCGTGGTCTAATAATACACGGAGTATTTTAGAACCGTTTACAGGATACAGGATGTCCGGAATTAGAACACTCCTAGCAACGCCACTTGCTGACCAAGCCCAACACGGGGAGTCCCATGTCCATCTAATCCAAATGATGCCGTGTATAGCTGTCGGCGTATGTAAGTGACAGAAATAGATCAGAAGAAGGTCTCCAATGCTCAAATTTATTGAAGAAGTTGTGGTTTTGAATGCGTATTACTGAGGCATGTTTGTTATTTTCTAGTAAAACATGACAGCAGCATAAAGAAGAAGAAGGTGTTTAATGAGATGAAGGAGAAGAGGTCCGCCTGAAAGGCGGGTTTCTAGTCTGCTACCCCTATCGGGGGTAAAAAGAGAGGGAAAGAATTTCGTCGAAGTCCTGCGCAAGGTGGTCTTGCGCGAGAAGAGGCAGGGAATGAAGCGATGGCCACCAATGCTGACAGACACGCACAATGCTAAAACGGCGGAGAATGGCAAGAGCAATAAACTTTATTCGGAAAGAGAGGTAGAGAAAGCTTTATTACATTAGTGTAAAATGGCCCGGTGGGGGAGATCTTGCTCTCTCTGCAATCACGTGATGGCACAGCAGTCACAAAAAGAAAGGACGGAGGAAATAAAAATAGAAGACCCGAAAAACAACTGGAATAAAACGAAAAAAACCGTGGCATAGTCTGTTAGACAGCCACACACTTTCACTGAACACACTTTACAATTTACCGTCCTTCAAATTTCATCTACACTTGCAAGCTGCCATAATCAGTGCCGGCTGTTAATGTTCTCCAGAAGAGGCTGCCCCTCCGACTTCCACGAGATATTTGAACGAAGCGCTTCAAACAAACAGTTGTTTCAGTTTTTTATCGCTACTACAAAGCAATGATAGGATTCAGATACGTTCACGCGACGCGAGCGCTGGTGTTTAGCCTTGTGGGTAAGGCACTCGTCTGCCGAGCATGAGGTACTGGGTTCGAAGCCCAACACCACCAGAAACATCTTTTCCCCTTTTTTTACGGGGATTTGTGACAACTGATAGAGGGACGTCACCGCTTAGAGCCGCGAACGCCTTCCGAGCGAATGTCCCCCTGATGTGTCAGCTTCCCCGCAGCAAGGGTCGAAATGTGGTTAAAAAATGAGGCTCTTATCACCCCTGATAAGGCTCACTTTTGTCTGGCGTCACAACTTCTCACGTGGGCGTACTGTACGTTTGTTCCGAACTAAACCCCCGTATTCTAGAACGCCCCTTCACTCAACGCTCCACCTTCACTTGAGAAAGCCGATTGGAGCACCATCTCTAGGCAGGGAAAGTCGCTGCATATCAGTGATAATTTGCTGCTATTGTTGAGTAGCGCAGCGTCATTTTTAGCCTAGCAGCGGCACAGTGCGCAACTCTGTCAAGTGAAGGGTGAAAGTCGAGTCGAGGAGCGTTTGTGAATACGGGGGGAAAAGTGTCCTCAGAGAAGTTGGCTTCCCCACAATTGTCAAAACAAGCGAAAAAAGTTGACGCAAAGCTGAACATTTGTCTGACGTCACAACTTGTCACGTGGGCGTATTGTACGTTTATTCCGAGCTAAAGTGTCATCTTAACAGTTGGCTTGCCCGCAATGCATGGTCAAAACTAGCGAAAAATGTTTAGGCCCTTATCAGCCCTGATAAGGCCCAACTTTTGTCTGACGTCACCATTTCTCACGTGGGCGTACTGTGCGTTTATTCCAAGCTAAAGTATGCCCTCAGCAGTTGGCTTCCCCGCAATGCATTCAAAACTGGCGAAAAAAGTTTAGGGCCTTATCAGCCCTGATAAGGCTCAACTTTTGTCTGACGTCACAACTTGTCTTGTGGGCGTACTGTAAGTTTATTCCAAGCTAAAGTATGCCCTCAGCAGTTGGCTTCCCCACAATGCATGGTCAAAACTGGCGAAAAAAGTTTAGGGCCTTATCAGCCCTGATAAGGCTCAACCTTTGTCTGACGTCACAACTTGTCTTGTGGGCGTACTGTAAGTTTATTCCAAGCTAAAGTATGCCCTCAGCAGTTGGCTTCCCCGCAATGCATGGTCAAAACTGGCGAAAAAAAGTTTAGGGCCTTATCAGCCCTGATAAGGCTCAACTTTTGTCTGACGTCACAACTTGTCTTATGGGCGTACTGTACGTTTATTCTAAGCTAAAGTATGCCCTCAGCAGTTGGCTTCCCCGCAATGGATGGTCAAAACTAGCGAAAAAAGTTTAGGGCCTTATCAGCCCTGATAAGGCTCCACTTTTGTCTGACGTCACAACTTGTCTTGTTGGCGTACTGTACGTTTATTCCAAGCTAAATTATGCCCTCAGCAGTTGGCTTCCCCGCAATGCATGTTCAAAACTAGCGAAAAAAGTTTAAGCTCTTATCAGCCCTGATAAGGGTCAACATTTGTCTGACGTTACCACTTGTCTTGTGGGCACACTGTACGTTGGTTCGAAGCTAAAGTGTCCCTTCATTACTTGGCTTCCCCGCAATGGATGGTCAAAACTAGCGAAAAAAGTTTAGGGCTTTATCAGGCCTGATAAGGCTCCACTTTTGTCTGACGTCACAACTTGTCTTGTGGGCGTACTGTACGTTTATTCCAAGCTAAAGTATGCCCACAGCAGTTGGCTTCCCCGCAATGCATGGTCAAAACTGGCGAAAAAAGTTTAGGGCCTTATCAGCCCTGATAAGGGTCAACATTTGTCTGACGTTACCACTTCTCTTGTGGGCACACTGTACGTTGGTTCGAAGCTAAAGTGTCCCTTCATTACTTGGCTTCCCCGCAATGGATGGTCAAAACTAGCGAAAAAAGTTTAGGCCCTTATCAGCGCTGATAAGGCTCAACTTTTGTCTGACGTCACTACTTGTCTTGTGGGCGTACTGTACGTTTGTTCCAAACTAAAGTGTCCCTTCAGCGGTTGCTAAACCCGCAACGAATGGTCAAAACTAGCGAAAAAAGTTTAGGGCCTTATCAGCCCTGATAAGGCCCAACTTTTGTCTGATGTCACGCCTTGTCACGTGGGCACCCATCACGTCAAGGTTACGTCAGACAAAAGTTGGTCTTTATCAGGGCTGATAAAGGCCTCAACTTTTTTCGCTGGTTCCGACCATGCATTGCGGGGAAGCCAACTGCTGATGGGACACTTTAGCTTGGAACAAACGTACAGTACGCCCACGTGACAAGTTGTGACGTCAGACAAAAGTTGCGCCTTATCAGGGCTGATAAGGCCCTAAACTTTTTTCGCTAGCTTTGACCATGCCTTGCGGGGAAGCCATCTCCTCAGGGGACGCTTTAGCTCTGAACAACCGCACAGTATGCCCACGTGACAAGTTGTGACGTCAGACAAAAGTCGAGCCTTATCAGGGGTGATACGGGGCCTCAATATTTTTACCACTTTTCAACACTTGCTGCGGGGAAGCCAACGCATCAGGGGGACATTCGCTCGGAAGACGTTCACGGCTCTAAGTGTGGCATCTCTGTTCACTACGAGCACTAAACATGGCAAAACCACGTTACAAAAGATTACAAAAGAGCCGAAAGGCTTTATCCTTGCTATAGGCCTTACATAGCCCTGCCTAAATGACCTCCGGATGGTGCCGGTTTTAAGCCGCTGTAGAGCAACATCGCGCAATATATATGCAACGTGAACGTTGATAGCCTTGATGTAATTATTCTGTCCGATGATGAGTTTAATACCTTTCATCAAACGAACCTCTGTGTGCCCTATCTCCTGGCGTTTCTGACGAGTCCACGGGTGCGTGATCGAAGCCACGAACACCTAGCTTGCGAGCGAAAATTTCCCCTGGTGGGTTGGCTTCACCGCAACTTACGTTGAAAACAAGCAGAAAAAGTTTAGGCCCCTATCAGCCCCGCTTAGCCCTAAGTTTTGTCTGACGTCACACCTTGCGTTGATGGGGTTAGCTGCGTGGTTGGTTTGGCTTCATGGTACTATAGATACCGGATAAGCGCAACGAATGTTTATATTTCCTGCCATCGCACCAGCTAATGATGTAAATTGCTAGCGTAGCTGAAATTTAATGTGATTACAGGAATGTTTCAACGGGAGCACTATTCATGGTGCGAAAGGTAACTCCACACTGTGATGAATAATGATGCCATGAATGCTGCTTGAGTCAGGCTTCAAACTTCCATTTATTTCGCTCGGCCCTTTTGCTTCCAGAAATGCATCTCGTAAGACATCGGCGACAGCTAAATTGACTGGTCATGCGTTGCAAGCCAGGCATGTATGCTCAAAGATGGCAGCAAGCAAATATATTTTGTGCGGCCAATGGTTGTTCCGTCATACCGTGTACAACACTGTCAGCGATTTGGTGACACGAGTGACTTACGAAACTGCGAAAATAGCTCTCTCACGCCTTAATTAGTGAACATCCACAACAAAAAAAGAGCTTTATGGTGGGTTCACTTGCGGTATTTTTCAAGAGGAACAAATATACACAACACAAAACAAGGCCATTTAAGTACAAGAACAAAAGTCTGGATTCGCATTGTACTTACAGCAAATAATTGACAGAAATGTAGAAGGCCGTCAATTCGTCGCGACTTCACAGCAAAAATACCACTCAGTCTCTCGTCATTTTATTCTTTAAACTGAGTCGAGAGACCTCCGTGCCCTAGCTCCAATCACAGGCGGTTGGCAAGAACAGCTGCGCCAATTTCGCTCTCGCCAGCGACTCGCACTCCTCCCTTGACTATTGTGATGCTTAGGATTCACAGAACCAGCGTCTTTCTCTTTTATGCCTGCTTTCCTCTGAGACACTGAAAAGTGCCCTCGTAGACGGGTACACGGGCTGGGAACACACAGTTTGTCTCTCGCAAGTGTCAAATTCCTAATCAGGCAAAAAGAAAAGGCCCGCACTGCCCACCTGCACATGCACGTAACAATCAAACACACCACTTCGGTTAAGAGTACGTGCTGACGCTGTATCGCCGCGGATGCTGCAATCTCGGATACAAAGGTGTAGTCATCATGGCGTCTGGACGAATCCTGTTCACGTATTTTTCAGCGCCCAGCACCGCCATCTCCACGGGGTTGCTCTCGATGGGACCGTGCAACAAGCCCGGAAGCGTCGGCGTCGTGTCCCCGCAGTCCAAGCTGTCAGCAACCGTTCCTGGTACGAAGAGAAGTTCGTCGTGGGGTCCTCTAGCTTCTGAGCCAGGGTGGCCTAATACAACATCTTGAGCGAGTGTAGGGAGGCCCGTTGAAGCCAACGTGATGTGCTTGCGACGGCCAGAGCCATAATTCCGCTGCTGGTTCGCGCCGTAGCAAGGAATCTCCGGCGAGGACGAGGCATAGTCCCTGGCAAAGCCCTGCATGACGTGCGCCAGGGACGTGGCCTAGTAGTTTCCCAACAATGGCGCGACGAGTAGAGGTCGCTGATCATAGCCGTTGTCAGACGAAGAATGCTGGCTCATGTCGGGCAGGTCTCCAAAGAAGGCCTGGGACTGGTAGGCGCAGGCGGCGGGGGGATGTCGGACAGCCGACCGACCAAGGAGACATCACTGTCGATGGACTCGAATGTGCTCTGCAAGCGCACTGTATAGACGCTCGGCGAATCAGAGTAGTGTCCTGACCTCTGACTTTGAGCCCAAGTTCGGTGATGGGGTCCGTTCTGGGCCTCTTTGCTCCTTTTTCATGTGGCTTGGGGTACGCTGAAGGTTATTGGGGTGCGACGGCTGCTGATCGAGGGCTGTTGATGTCATTTATGTTGTTGCTTGGTGAGCTTCGGTGCAGCGTGCCGTCGGACACTTGGCTGAGGGCATCGATGTTGTTCTGCCCTTGCTCTAGTATGCGGCTGCTAGCATCGGGCGAAGCGAGTGCCAGGCTGCGGTAGTCGCTGACTCGGTCCATAGATTGGTGACCTGGTACATAAAGAAACGCATTTGTTCATGAGAATGTGCGACGCGAAATTATCTCGAAGACTGCGTATGCTCTAGCAGACCTTACTCTGCACCACTTTTTATCAATACCGCATCATTTTACCAACACAGTTATGCACTATTCTTGAAGCTAATTCATTCATAATTAAGTTGTTCATTAGCTGTAAAAACAAGTTAGCTTGAGGTATCTAAGGAAACACTCTTTCTCTTTTTGTCTTTTTTCTGCACCTTATTTTATGAAATGCTAACCGTCTCAATTTATATTTCTACATTTTGTTCTTTGTACACCGATAGGCACACAAACGAAAATGCTTGCACATCTGGGCAAAGTCAGGTGTGAGTAAGCATAATGGCATGGTTGGAGCGAAAATATGGTCAAGGTGTAGAATTCGCAATGCTAGTCATGTTCACTTGCATTAAATTATGAATCGACTCACCTAACAACATTGACTTTTTTATTAGGATAGCAATTATATGAACACTCTCAGCTGGATTTTGCCGTCGGCGTCGGTGACCGCCGTCATTCACCGTATATGTCATCATCATCATCATCATCATCATCAGCCTGACTGCGTCCACTGCATGGACAAAAGCCTCTTCCATGTTCCGCCAGTTAACCCGGTCCTGTGCTTGCTGCTGCCAATCTTTACCCGCAAGCTTCTTAATCTCATCTGCCAACCTAACCTTCTGTCTCCCGCCTAACCCGCTTGCCTTCTCTGGGAATCCAGTTAGTTACCCTTAATGACCAGCGGTTATCCTGTCTACGCGCTACATACCCGGCCCATGTCCATTTCTTCTTCTTGATTTCAGCTATGATATCCTTAACCCCCGTTTGTTCCCTAATCCACTCTGCTCTCTTCTTGTCTCTTAAGGTTACACCTACCATTTTCCTTCCTATTGATCGCTGTGTCGTCCTATATTTAAGCTGAACCCTCTTGGTATGTCTCCAGGTTTCTGCTCCGTAGCTAAGCACCGGCAAGATACAGCTGTCATATACCTTCCTCTTGAGGGGTTGTGGCAACCTACCTGTCATAATTTGAGAGTGCTTGCCAAATGTGCTCCACCCAATTCTTATTCTTCTAGTTACTTCAATCTCGTGGTTAGGCTCCGCGGTTATTACCTGCCCTAAGTAGACATAGTCTTTTACAACTTGAAGTGCACTATTCCCTATTTTGAAGCGCTGCTCTTTTCCGAGGTTGTTGTACATTACTTTCGTTTTCTGCAGATTAATTTTAAGACCCACCTTTCTGCTCTCCTTGTCTAAATCCGTAATCATGAGTTGCAATTCGTCCCCTGAGTTACTCAGCAATGCAATGTCATCGGCGAAGCGCAGGTTACTAAGGTACTCTCCATTAACTCTTATCCCTAACTGTTCCCGTTCTAGGCTTCTGAAAACCTCCTGTAAGCACGTGGTAAATAGCATTGGAGAAATTGTGTCCCCCTGCCTTACACCCTTCTTGATTGGTATTCTGTTGCTTTCTTTATGAAGCACTATGGTAGCAGTTGATGCCCTGTAGATTTCTTCCAGGATGTTTATATATGCTTCATCGACACCCTGATTCCGCAGTGTCTGCGTGACGGCTGATATTTCTACTGAATCAAACGCCTTCTCGTAATCTATGATGGCTATGTATAGTGGTTGGTTATATTCTGAGCACTTCTCTATTACCTGATTGATAGTATGAATGTGGCCGATTGTTGAGTAGCCTGTTCGAAATCTTGCTTGTTTCTTTGGTTGATTGAATTCTAATGTTTTCTTTACTCTGTTAGCAATTACCTTTGTAAATAGCTTGTATACTACAGAGAGCAAGCTGATCGGCCTGTAATTCTTCAAGTCCTTGTCATCGCCTTTCTTATGTATTAAGATGATGTTAGCGTTCTTCCAAGACTCTGGCACTCTTCCCGTCAGGAGACACCTGGGCTAGTTTTTCTAACACAATCTCTCCGCCATCTTTCACCGTATATTTATATACAAGAGAACGTGAGAAAGAAAAATAATTCAAAAAAAGAATCCGGCGCCCGGAATCGGACGCCGGACATCTCGCTTAATTGTGAGTGCATGGCGTTCGCCACTGAGCCACGAAGGAGCACCTCCTTCAACGTTGAAACGGCAAGCTATTTATATCTTTTACCGCTGCCGATCACGGGGGGAACTCTTGTGGTATCAGCATTGCCAGCGAGATTCCACACACACGCACATTTCCACGCACATTTCCATTTGAAAACCTGTGTACATTTACCTGTAACCCACCCCTTATGTAATACCCCCTACATGGGGGTCTTTAAGGTATTAAAGTGATGTGATGTGATGTGATGGCGCGATCAGCGGAGGTCACCAGATCGTCAAGACGCGGCGACACACGCTAATGGGTTCACCTCCCACGCGTACTTTGCCCCACAGGGGGGGGGGGGGTGTAGACATCGGTGAGGAGAATCCTACGCCTTGGGTTTTCACCGGAACGATGACGTTCTAGTTACCGGGCGCACAAAGGTCACTGCACTCGCTGCACAGTCTCCGTTCGTGAAAAGGGCGCGCTTATCAGACAAAGCGAATTAACAATTGAGACACTTATTCGCGTTCACGTGTACCTGTTAGTACGTTTCGTGCGTCATTTGTGCGTGAGCGACGCGGGGCGCGTTTTGATCTGCTTACCATTCTTCGCGTGACATTCCAATTTGTTGCTATCGCATTCATTGCTTCGCCTTTGCGGTAAAGCTGTGACTTGTTTTATTTCTATACATGTAAACCTAAATTCAAAGAAGGAACTTCTTTGCCTGTACATTTTGGTTTTGACTTGGAAATGACCAACAAATCTATGAGCCATCACATTTTTCCATTAACTATCGTCTGTATTGTGACCTAGCCGTTAATACAAGCAATCTGTCTGATGTATCTCACTTGTTATGGTGAACTTTGGGGTAGCTGTAAAATTTTTCACCTGCGAGTTTCAAGAATGCTGGGCAACCTGAAAGAGAAGTCTGAAAACAATGACATAGCATCAAGGGGATGCATAAGCATAATATATAGAATATAGAACTGATTGGTTAGTAATTAGTGATAGATTTTTTATGTACAGAGGAGTCTAAAGACTTTATAATTTGTGAGTCAAAGCTGCCTTTTTGCAACAGCAGCAATTATATAGTGCGTGCTAACGAGCCCTTTCAATGCAGCAGCAGCAGCAGACGGACGGACGGACGAATGGACAGACAGACAGACGGACGAATGTCTAGACAGACGGACGTCTAGACAGACGGACGAAGACATAGAAACAACCCTCATCAACTAACTAAGGCGTAAAAACAGCATAGAAGCAACCAAATCTGTCTTCAGAATCCTCCAATATCGCTTTTTCAAGGCTTGTGTGGCTTGTTTCCTAATGAACGCTTAGCCAATTTTCAAGACGTGTACGGCCAACGAGATAACTGCGTGGCCAAGCGTCCATCACTTCCTCATGTAAGACAATTAACTGCAAAGTAAATAAAAATGACAGGTTCTTTTTCTTTGAGCGTTTCACCGTCTATACTACACATTCAATCTTGCAAAGAGGTAATATATATGCCGTCTGGTGGACGCAGGGCGTTATACTTAACCATTCTGAAAACCAGTCGGCACTTGTCCATATATGTCAGAAAAGTGGCTTGAAAGGGATGCACGCGCCGTGCAAGCGGTTTCCGACACAAGAGTAATCTCGACTGCGTCAGCGGTCGGAAAGGACTCGTATATCCGTGCATGTTCGATTGATCATAACACGAATGATGGTAAGCTCAACTAGCTCGGTATGACGAAATACATGGGCCAAGCAGACGTCACCGTTAATAAAATTGGTCGCGGCTGTACGAGAGGTTGGATGAAATGAATTGGTGTAGTGGGGAGAAGCGATGTAGGTGACGCGAGTGAGTGCTTCAGTCGAGCAGGCAACAGCACCCTAAATAAGTATACTACACTGGCAAATCGATGGCGTTCTGTAACGACCAATTCATTACATGCAGGGGCGGATCCAGCCACTCATTTTAGGGAGGTAGGGGAGGGGTAGGTCATTTAAAGTAGCACCGGGAAGAGGAGCGGGGTCCTAACTTTGTTTTTACTAGCAGAAAAACCCCAATGATAGAATAAATACTGTTCATGCGTGCTCACAGTGGTGATAGGAGGTGGACAGCAAGAACTGGACAGGGGGGGGAGGTGATGACACAGGCTTAGGTGGGGGGGAGGGGGGGGCATCACCCCTACCATTCTTTATACATGCTATGCTATAAATGTGTTTGATAAATGTATGCCGAACTCTTTATAGTTACTACAACTTCTCATTTGCGGCATGTTCAACCAATTTATATTTGTATATATCCTGACTATCATGCCTTCCCTGCTAATATCTCCATTGGCAGAGACATGCATGTCTGAAATAAATAAAATAATGAAGCACAAATGCAGGCTCCCCTTAGAAACGTGAACCCTGAATACAATACGTCTCAATCGCTACTGAAATACACAATCATTTCCCGCATGCGAAGCCGAGTGATTGATTGAATCCGTTAGTTCAAGGCGTTGTACACCGCTGCCGTGAGGGGCCACGGGTCACGGGACGCAGTAGAGCAGCGGCCTTCGAAGTCGTCGAGCTCCATGTCCCAGAGCACGACACACGGCTTCGACAGCACGGTCAGTTTTTGTCGGATGGAAAGAGGGGTTTCCAAGACGAGCTTCACGTTCCCCGCGGCTGACGCGAGTGTGCAGTACTTGACAGGGTCCAAGCTGATGTCAAAGGCCCTGCAGACTTCCGAAAAGGCGCGCAGTCCTGGAGTACTCGTGTACCCGGTAGGGTCTGCCGGTTCCATCCGCGCGTTGGTCTCGGGACGGTTGGCGCGAAGCTTGAAAGCGCGCACCTGTTTCCACGGAGCGGGATAGACTGAGTGAGCTATCACAGTAAGACAATAATTAGTACGCGTTGTCGCTGGAACCAACCTTTAGACAGGCGGACTTGCCTTCT